CAAGATCCATGCATCCTGCTGCATCATTTAATAACTGAGATTTATATCATAGTTGTAGTGCCTTAATGTCAAACAACCCAGTCGTGCATCACCTTCTATGGTAGACAGACGTTGGAATTTGGATATTGACTGTGTACCATGGGAGTTAGAGAGTACTGGTAGGCAACAGACAATGCACAGACATCACTGAGATGGTTTTGGCTGGCTGGTTGGATCCAAATGAAAATCACATTTCCATCATCAGCCATTGATGTATATGCAAGACAACGAGATTCCATGTGTCTCCTCTATCATCGAACCATATATAGGATGCTAACAAAAAGTCTGCAACTTTCCTTCAACTTCACCACAGTAGTGTCAAAGTTCTGACCCCATATGAAGGGAAGTCGTCCGTTCATGTTCTGCAATCAGTTTTAGGAGATGGAGGAAGCAACTGCTTTGAAAATCCATTGCTGGGTAGTTTCTAAACTGGAAAAAGAACGACAAAACAAAGTGGGGGGAGTGAGTGATTACAGATGAACTTTCAGGAACAGAATATACTTGCTGCATTTTGGAAACTGTACCAGAAGAAACGCGAAACGTTTCGTGTCCTGCGATATATTGACTGATATAATGCGGTTGCCTTCCTGTGGATAAGTGGCGGTAGCGTGCGAGGTTTGTCCGGAAAAGGCCACAATGCAGCACTTCGTCTTCTTCTTTGGTCTGCCGAAGAAATGGCGTAATCCAGCGTAGCAACGACAGGCTTCCCATTTAGGATGCAGCAGTGAGGTGTGTAACCATTTCTTCCTTCCGCCAAAAATGAAGTTGGCTACGGTTAATTTAATCCAATTTCCGACGCTTGAAGACAGACCACCAATTTCTTCTAATGAAGGAGGCTGACAATCTCCGACGAATCGCCACTCACAGTCTCAGGCTACGCAAATTGGTTTCCCGCCACAGGCGCCGGTGCGCAACAACGAGTTTCAAAAATGGGAGTTCTTCTTCTGTTCAAACCGATGTCACCTTCCCTGCTTATTACGCAGAGCTTCTTGATCGATTGAGTGAGTCCACCGTCGATTAGTTAAAATTCGTGAATTGGGTTGCTTCTTTTTAAGAAATTTGAACAGCATTCTACTATTATGAACAGGCCAAAACTGTTGCTGAGCAGGCTCTTAAGTGATGAGGTAAAGCTCGTGGTTAGGTTTTAGTGATTGAGTTGAGTGAGTGAGTAGAATGTTCCATGTTTTGTGGGGGGAAACTTATGATGGATGGCAGGATTCTTTAATTGCGAGCTCGAACTGATAGAAAGATTGCTGCTTTAAATTACACAGGAGATTGAATTCCCAACGATTGGACTTGAGTCTGTACCACTACCAGGTGATGAAGTGGGTATAGAAATTACTAATAGCATGCTCTCGATTCGTCAATTTTGCCACAGCTTGGTGAGTCCACAGAAAGATTCAAGAAGCAGAATTGTGAGTCTAGTCTACCCGCTCTTTGCTTTGATTGTTGCAGCAGTATTAGCCTTTTCCCTTCTTATAAAGGAATGCATGTATTGCTCCATTCAGATTATATGAGCATTTATGCTTCTTGATGGCCATTCAGATTTGCTTACAAGTCCTTCCATTTATGTATGATCCAGTTCTCACAGAAGCAATTGAGGTGAGATTTGCAAGCGAGACTGCATGTAAAGGGCCATGCCTGAAGTTGGACTATTTGATGAAGCCATTCGAGGATTCCGAGTTCAGTGAAAAGACAAGAATGCCATATCGTGTGAAGCTGGAAGACGAACTATTCTTAGTTGGCTATCCATAGTTCAATATCAATGGTAATTCAATCCTGTCTCCTCATCTTCCAAGAACAATTGATTGATATTTGATACTAAGTTTAAAAAAAAAAAACTGATAAGAGTAGATACTACACTTGATCTTAGCCAAAAGGCCAAGAATGGTATGGTTTCAACAGTTACCGGAGCTTTCACTTTATTCCAAGCCCTTTGCTTTCTTAAGTTGGTTTAAACTTTAAACGGATGATTAACCCATGAGCAGGAAATCCTGCTACCAGGGTGTATTGTAGTGATGTATAATGCATCAGTTTGTACTGTATGAGATCCCATTTGGGTATGGAGAGTTAATGCTTAGTTCTCAGGTTTGCTAGCTGCAGATAATTGCAGCGCAACTATGGCCCTTTGGGAGGCGACCTCCCTTTGTCATTTTTCTTATCCTGTGCAGATGCTATTGCTAAGCTCCATACCCTGTTTACTCCTTTTCCATTGTAGTTCCTCTGTTCCGTCTTTCTATTCCATTTCCTTTTGATCCCAGGTTTAGTTTGTTGATTGTACAGCTCCCATTTTCTTCTGTAATAAACTCTCATCGCCCTTGTATATAAAAAAAAAAGTTATGGATTTTTGGGAGCAAGACAAGATTCTTGGCAGCTCTCTCCAGTTCTTGTAGCTCAGAGGAATTTTCCCAGTTTAAAACCATTGTTTATCTCACAAGAAACAGCATAACCAAGGACAAGTAGAAATGGTGAAAGCCAAATCTAGTGGCAGTAGATTATGGCTTGTTCTCGTTTAAATGATATCACAGATCGTGGAAAATAATGCCAACCAATCCACTCCTACATTACACCTGACTTTTGTAGATGAGATTAGTAGACGATGAAGCTGACTAGGTAATGAGCTGGATAGTGCTGGTAAACATTGCATATACATAGCTGGGATGGTTGTTTAGTGATGGAAATCATAGCCATATTTCCATCTCATTTCTTGATATATATACATTGTAAATTTTGATTCCTTGTGTCTCCTCTGACATATAAGTTTTAGACTAGTGTATATGATTAAAAACTCATACCACGCTGCTACTGCTGTACCAATGGAAGGCAATATCCACCTAATATGGTTCATAATTGCATTTGGCAGTCTTCCATGTGATTTTGAGTCATGCTCATATTTAGCTTACCTATCTGAAATTATCTTCTTCTTTTTTCACTGCCATTTGTCTCCTGTATGCAAAAGGTAATTAAACTGGAGGGAAAGAAAGTGCAGGCTGGAAGATTGAACAATGATCAGAAAGAGACTTGGTATAGCAGGAACTTGGTGACCATGTATATTTATGGATTTGAGTATCAAAATTTTCTATACAATATGTACAAGTATTGTTTTGATGATGTAACTACAGATTGTGGATATTGAGAATCGAGGCTCTTGTTTTGATCAAACGCCTAAAGAGGCTCTCGACTCCTTCCTCGAGATCTTGAATGCATGGCTGTAGATTCTTCAGATGAGTTTGGACCTCTTCAACAGATTTGTTTGTCTTCAGAGAGGCATCAACATCTGCAAATTCATTCTCACTTGAAGCTGCTGCAACCCTTTTAAACAACGACCAACTGCTTGGCTTTGAGCTTGTTTGAGAAATAAATGCCAGCAAGCACTCCAAAACCTCAACAACAGCAGATTCAGCTTCCTTCAACATGGATACTGTCTCAACGTTGTTTGATGAGGTGGACTTCTTGTTTTCCATAGCCTTCAAGACCTTTTGGATTGCTTTGATCACAGTCTTCCGTGATTTCAGGTACCTTCTGGTTTCTCCTTCCACGCCACCTTGCCTTCTGCGAATAGCGGATTGAAGTTCAGCCACAGACTCTTTCATCTGGGACAAGGCATCCTTGCCAGTGTTGCACAAGTCCAAGATCCTCAGAGATTCATCCAGTAGCTCATTGAAGCATTTCTGGTCATTGATCAAGGCTTGTTGAGTTGTTGGCAGTTGGAACAATTGGTCAACACAATCATACACAACTTGAAGGCTATTCAAGGTGTGGCCTATGGATGATGACGATGTGGAAGCAGCTTGAGATTGTCTCAACCTGCAAACTTGCTCATCTATTTCCGAGACCAGTGGGTGTGATCTAGCAGGCAAACTGTTGGAGCGAGCATGGAAAGAAGCTGCTGCCATTTTTTTTGGTTTTCTTGGTGGAGATGAGAAGATGTGGGGAAGGGTTTTGAATTGAAGAGAAGGTTGAGAGAGGTGATTTGCAATGCCTTCCTTGGCAACCAGAGTTTCTTTATATAGATGGTGAGAGGAGTGAGGCATAGGCTAAGGCCTAAGAGACACAAAGAGACAAGAGGAATCAAAGCCATCTTCTTTCCATGGGCTTGTGTGATATTATTCAGCTTGTGATTTCAACTATGAATCCTCCACTCTTACCGGCATTATGTCTCTGCAATGTCCCTTGCCTACCAAGTCACCCAACTCATTATTGAATCAGGGATGGAGTTCTAAACCACTGGATGAGTCATGGGGTGGCAAAGATCCATACTTTTCGCTTCTCCCATTTAAAATGTCAATTGCCCATCTCTCTTCTTTGTTAGCAGAGCCTGTTGTTCACTGTGTAAGCAGCATAGGGCACAAGGCATCTATAACAAGCTGCCACATTAGTTGTTCCTGAGGGACTAATGCAGAACAAGACAATCCAGGTATTTCTTTATTGTAGCTTTTGCATTTTACATGCAAAAAGAAAACCACAGCATGTAGTAGTTTATTATATATGGAGGAGACGTGGGGGCAGGCAGATGGAAATATGGAATCTCATCATTAATGGCTGTTGTGGATTGCAGATCCATTATTTTATTACAACACACGAGGAGGTTAGCAAAACACCACTCAATGAACGAGTAGTTTTGATTATAATACAAAAAAACAAATGTGAGACAGGATCCATATGAGATTAGCTTACTTTCCTATGCAATCGTGGGGGTTCATTGGACTGTAAGAGAGGTGCCATTTTTGCAGTGTTATTCAATATGATACGCTAGTTGTTGTTCTGCCTAAACTACGGCCCTCCAAATCTCATCATGGCAAGTAGCAATTCATGGAAAGTGAATTTACTTTCAAAGGTAAGATGGGGATTTGTGTACTGGGTATCAGATATACAGATGAGTAATTGAATGTCTATACTGATCTAGAAGTATTGCGGCTCTCATTTGAATCATCTGCCTAAACAAGGAGTCAACAACTTCCTTAAGATCTTAAAATGTATGCCTGCAACTTCTTCAACTGAAATTGGACTTCCTCGTCAGTCTTCCAGGTGGCACAGCCAAATTCATCTTCAGCTTCTACTGCAACCCTTTTCTGGTTTCTCATCAGCTTGGAAACTATTGACCAGCTGCTTGACTCTGATGATTTTCCAGTACTCTGTCCGAAAATGAACGAAAGTAGGGATTCCAACGCTGCAACTCTGACAGGTTCAGCTTCTCTCAGCAATGTGACGATCTCACAATCAATCAGATGGCGAGGTGGAGAATTTCCTGCTTTCAGTAGTGCCCTTGAAGAACTTCTAGATTGTCTTTCTTCACAAGCTTCCTCGAATTCAGATACCTTCTGGTTTCTCCTTTCAAACCCCCCAAGTTGTTTTCTTTGGCTTCAAGCTCAGCAACAGATCTCATTCATCTGTGACCAAGCATCCTTAGCACCGCTGCATAAATCCAACGAGCCTCAAAGATCCATCCAGTCGCTCTTTGAAGGGATTCCTTGACATGAACCAAGCCTTGTTGGGACAATCACAGTTGCAGCAACTTGTCCATGCAGTCATACAAATCCTGAAGGCCACTCAGCTTGTGGCTTATGGATGATTGCTGCTTCAGATTGTCAAAACCTGCAGAGTTGCTACTGTAGCTAGAAGGAGTGTTCTAGCAGACAGAATGTTGGAGTGAACATGGAAAGATACATTACATATTTACATTGCCTAATTGATGATTAAGCACAAAACAACTATGAGCGTTGAGCTCAAACAAGGCATGATCCGTAGATTTGGGCTCCCTGCTGTCTTAAAATCTCAACAGAACCATGGTTTTGGCACCAAATCAAAATCAAACTCTGGTTTTGTCCTGCTCCTTGTTTTCCTGCAGACCTGTTGTCGTATTACGGATAGAGAAATCGACAACGCAAGGAAGTAAAGAACACAAAGACAGAAATCGACAACAGTTTTACTATACTGGTTTCACTATCTACCTTCATTGCGATTCTTAGCTAAAAGATACCAAAATTAAAAAAAAAAAAAGGTTCATGCTTTCGTAACCAATCTGCTTGGCAATTTCCAAGACTGAAACACTATAATCCATACCAAATACAACACAGTTTCTCATTCACGAACATGTAAACTAAAACAGAAAGAATGTGTCCTTCGTCCACCATATCTGCAATTCCTTCTCCTCGTTTGTATTTCTCCAATCTTCTTCGCGCCAGCAAGGAGCCGATTCCATTCAGCAAGACGACCATCTGGGAACCCCGCCATTATAGCTTCTGGATCCTTGTAAACTTTATTAATGTAGTACTCGAAGAACTCAGTTTCCTCCTCCACGCTGGCATTCTCCCAGACTCGCCGCTCCGTTTTGCAATCTTCCTGTTCGACGGCCTTCTTCATCTTCTTCGCGGGACTCTCCACGTCAAGTGCCGACTTTACGTCTTCAAAGAAGAAAAGACTCGCCAACGGCAGCGACAGAGTCGTGGAATCCTCGTCGGCGGCCGAGCTGGAATCGGAGGACGAATCTACTCCCACGACGTCGTATACAAGCGGCGGCGAAAACTCATCATAGTCATAGGTCTCAGCAGCTGGAACAAAATCAAAGGTGAAACCCTGCGTTTCTCCCGTCGAAACGGCGGGAGTTACGAATTTCGTTGCTTTCCCGCGTCCGAACAGAGACGCGACGAAGCTCGAACGGGTCGAAACGAGCTGCCTCACCTTCTTCAAGCAGTTGTGAATCCTCGACGCTTTCGGTCTCGATTTCGACGAGACCGAGCAATCGGGAGTTGGGTCTTCTGTAGAAACGGATGGGTAGTTGGGGTTGATCCAGTACCGAAAAGACAGAGACATGATTGATGCTTTGCTTAGAGCTTTAGATCGGAACAAAAAGAAGTAGAAAAACAGAGTCCTCTGCTTTTGGTAAGGAGATGATTGGGTAGTGTGAGGGACTGAATTGTGGCTGTATATGTTTTATAAAAAAACAGAGCATGCTCTGCTTTCCTTGTCTAGTTTTTCGTTCCTTCGATTTCCGGATGTGGAAGTTTGTTGCTGCTACAATTAGTGTTCCGAAAGAAAGGAAGGAAAGGGGTTTTATGGGGAAGGGAGTAATGGCGGATTGAGAAGAAGAAGAAGAAGGTTTGACAGAAGGGAGTTCACAGTTTACTGATTTTAAGGAAGGAAAGGAAGGGAAGCGCGGGAAGATGGTTGTGTAGGTTGAAGTTATGAGGTCATCTTTCCTTCCTTTTGCTGTCCTCTAAATTAGGGAAGTCGATCGTTCGTTATTAGAAGGAATGGATGGGCCAATAGTATGAATTTGGGCTTGATGGCCCGTTAATGCAGAAACCACTATGGCCATGTATGCTCATGTATGTACAAATGGTATCGGTAGATGGATCGGCCTGGATCTTATCCACGTTTGGGATGCATACCTGCTCATGCAGTCAAGCCCAAGCCCTAATATAATAGTGTAAATGTAGCCTAGAGTAAATACGATATATTAGTCATAACTATTAACCAACGAAAAATAATAGTCACAATTATCAAAATACAAAATAATATCCATAATTATTGTTACGGGTCAAAATATGGCTAATAACCGATTAACACTAACTGTTTGTTGGACGAATTTACAGTTAAGCCGACACATAAGCGCCAAGTGGAAAAGCTATTTTCTTATTGTAATTAAATAAAAAAAAAATAAAAAAAATATTTCCAGCGCGAAACCCTCCCCTTCCCCCATTTTTTCTTTCTTGTTTCTTCCTCTTCGCCATCGATGGCGAACTATCTTTTCTTCTCTTTCCTTTTCTCTCGTCTCTTTCTTCTTTCCTCCCCAATAGACTTGGCAATCGGGTCGGGTTGGGTAATTTCGGGTTGGGAACTTAGGTTACGGATCGGGTCATGTTTGGTTGGCTAACTTTGGGTCAAATATTGACCCAACCCTTTCGGTTTCGGGTCGGGTTACATATCATTTTGGGTCATGAGCGTTCTCATAAATAATATCAAACATGCTTCGTAGTTTCTTAAAAAAATTACAACTATACTATCTAAACCAAAAAATTTCCAAAAGTACCATTATTTATTAAAAACCGCATGGGTAAGCAGCGGTTTAAGGGAGAACAGCACGGGGAAGGGGCGATTTCCCTTAGAGCAGCCCAAAAATCATACCCCAAAGCAACGGTTATGCTAACCGTTGGATAAAGGGGCAATCTGACGGCATACAACACGCCAGCTCAACGGTCCGCGTCTGCCATAAGAACCGCACCTCGGGAGCACGGTTTGCGCGTTGGGGAATGAAAATCGTGAGCTTGGGGAGCGGTTTTCGTTGGGGTAAAATTACAAAACCACCCCCTGGCTAGCGTTCGAGCATTATAAAACCCCCTCCTCATTATTTCTTCACACCAAAACCCATTCTTCTCTTTCTCTCCAAGTTTATCTCTCTATCCATCCCTTCTCCACCCAAAAAAAAAAAAACCTTGAAAATAGTGGTCTGTTAGTCGCGGCTAAGTCCAAACTGCCATAAAACATATTTCTTCGGTGTTTCCTTCAAAACCCGTAGAATCTCTGTCCGGTTTCTGAAAAGATGACCGATATTTTTGAAGAGGAGGGTATTAATTTGGATGACTATCAAGCGGTACATACTCATTTAATCTAAATTTTGTTGTTGTTATAATAATTTTGTTTAATTTATATACTAATTAATTTATTAAGTTCTTATGTTATCGTAAGTTGGGGAGGACGTTGATATCTACAATCAAAGATATTATCGTTAATCGTATTAATTATTTTTAATTATTTAAAATAATCACTTATTTAGGCTCTTTATAAAGATATGGATGCCTAAGAAGGTCTTAAGCGATCTCATGTAATTTCCGGCCACTGTCTGCATATCAATTCCGATCCACTCTAGTAATTTCCGGCGAAGTCTGGTCAGAGTCGCCGTCGGATCCCGACGCTTCCTTTAGCAATTTTGTTCATTGCAACTTCAACAAACTCCTCGAGTGATAATTTGTGCTCTACTCTCTAACTGCGTCGTGATCCAAGCTAGTGTGCAATCAGGTTCGTTTTTTTTTTAGTCTCAATTGATGAAAGAAATCCTTAGGGATGGCTTCCATTTTTCAGCTGAGCTCTAGTCATTGCGATGCTCGGATAATGGACAAATCAGTTATGCGAATGCTTCAATTGCTGCTTGAGAATTGAATGTCAGTGGACTTAGGGATTTCCTTCGCTGGTTTCAGGGTAAGCGAGTTAGGTTTGATTTTGTTGTTAGAATTAGAAGAAAACGAACAGAGGAAGGAGAGGAACCATAATTAATGGAGTCTCAGTCCCAGACTCAGAATACTTCCTTGCACCGTCTTCAGAATGTGGAGAAGGTAATCAATTTCTCAGAAGGTTCTGATCTTTCTTTCAGTTTTTAATCGCTATGTCATGAAGTTTCCTCTGGTTTTAGATACATCCTCTTATGTTGCTAATTGGGGATTTTCCCAGACTGTTGTCAAGGTTTTGGAGCTGGCTGGAGGAGTGATGGATGAACTGGCGAATCCCATGGGACCCAGGAAGGAATTCATCAATAACCATTGCCGCGAGTTCATGCAAATGATCAAGGTGTGTTGATTTCTGTTTCTGTCCAAGCATCTAGCTATTGATGATGATTACTTGCTATAGATAGTGTGTAGTAATTCATGGATTACTCGAGCGTAATTCAATCTTTTTTGGCGTTTGAGGTCCATAAGAAATTTTGTTCTGATGTTGAGGAAGGTAGGATCTAAAGATAGTATTACTCAGTAGTCCTGCTTAGTTTCTGATAAGATTCAACTTGGTGATGGATAATGGTGGGCAGGACATCCAGTTTACTTTGCGCAATGAAATCAAAAGCACGTGTGAGTACCGTCCTTTTGAGAAGTGTGACTACAGCTCGAGGATATCAAACGAAATCTGCTTCGACAAGTTGGAGTACCTTACTTCCCTTCTGAATGGCTTGGAAGAATCCATTGACCAGTATCATGCTGCTGATGCTGCTGCTGCAACCGCGATGTTCCCTCCGATTGATTCATGACAGTGATGCATCACCATTCTCCCCTTAGCTTACCAGCCAGCCTCGTGAGTGTTCGATTTCCTTGTGTTCCGTTGCAGCCATTTGGACCATAGAGCACGTCGCAAAGTCTGAACTTCAGCCTCCACTTAAGCCAAGCGCATGTCGCCAAGTCAGTTCTCCTTTTTCCTGGATAGGGTAGGGATTGGTTTACAAATTTGTAGTTAAAATGTCTGGCAGTAGCTCCGTTTCACACACTTGCTATTTGAACCCTCAATTCAGCTTGTATTAGTTGAGATGTTATTCTCTCCACATGTTGAAATGAGCTGTTGCTTCTGAGAGATCACATTTCCTTTCATTTCGTGGTGTTTTCGGTCTTTCTTCCTGAATAGCCTTCAGAAAATGTTGAAACATGAGCATTTCTGCACTTCCAAGAAACTGCTGCAACTGGATCTTATATGGAATGTACCCAATTTGCCTCGACAATTCCAGTTGTCAAAGATAATAAAACATTGATTTTGCCATTACAACAAAGAAGCTTGAGGTTATCTTTGTCAAATCAACTAGGTACAGCAATTATATAAGGGTCCTAAATCCTAATGAGTAATGACCACATACATGAACCGAAAGAACCAAATCTACTCAAGATTCGTGTAAATGAAACCAATATCAGGTAGAAAATCATAACCGGATATGATAGTACCAGAGGATGTACATTCTTGTCCTAGAACCAAGCTTCCTTCAATGACAATAAGAGAGGCGGTGATCATCAATCAAGACAGCAATATTCAAGGATTTTGCTTATATTTGGTTCATGCACCAAATCATTACAGAAGGGAAGAAAACAAAAACCAGCCATCCGTGGGGGAGTTGAAAATTGCATGGCGCCATTATTAGTGAATGAATTTGTTGCTGTTATCAGCCACACCTACTGACTTATTGAAGCAGAAATTGAGCTGGAAGGAGGGACAATGGGGACACAATGTTGGGATACTGTTGGATCCTAAATCCAAATGCCCATATGCAGATAATTATGGCACCAAAAGGAAGATAACTTGCCATTTCCTCTCCATCTATATAAACTTGCTGCAGAAACCAGTGAAAGGGGATATCAGTTTCTCAATTCACCATCTTCTCTCTTGAACTTGCAAAAAGATACAAACTTTCCATCTTCTAACACTCACCCCAAAGAAAACCCACCAAAAATGGCAGCCCTCTCTTTCCATGCCAGGTCCAACAGTTTCCCTGCAGAATCACACCCTCTGGTTTCAGAGATTGATGAGCAGGTCTGCAGATTGAGACAATCTCAAGCTGCTTCTACCTCATCATCCATTTCCCACAAGCTGAATGGCCTTCAGGATTTGTATGGTATCGTTGACAAGTTGCTGCAGTTGTCAACAACTCAACAAGCCTTGGCCAATGACCAGAAATGCTTCAATGAGGTGTTGGAAGGATCTTTGAGGCTCTTGGATTTGTGTAACACAGCCAAGGATGCCTTGTCGCAGATGAAAGAGTCTGTGGCTGAGCTTCAATCTGCTATTCGTAGAAGGCAAGGTGGTTTGGAAGGAGAAACCAGGAGATACCTGAAATCTAGATGCATGGTGAAGAAAGCAATTCAGAAGGCCTTAAAGGGTATGGACAGCAAGAAATCCGTTTCATCAAACAACATTGAGACAGTCGCCATGTTAAAGGAAGCTGAATCTGCTGTTGTTGAGGTTTTGGAGTGCTTGTTGTTGTTCATTTCTCAAACTAGCTCAAAGTCAAGCAGCTGGTCATTAGTTTCCAAGCTGATGACGAACCAGAAACCAGTTTGTCAAGAGAATGAGTTTGCAGATGTGGATGCCTCACTTAAGATGAACAATTCTGCAGACGAAGTCCAAGTTCAGCTGAAAAGCTTGGAGCTTTGCATTCAAGATCTTGATGGAGGAGTTGAGTGTTTGTTTAGGCATCTGATCAAAACAAGAGCTTTCATTCTGAATGCTCATAATATGTGAAAAACATACTTGTATACAAATTATGGTACATATGTGGCACATTTTTGTACATTCTGATACTGAATACATGAAAAGAAACTGATACTTGATCATTCCCTGGAAAAACTATGTCTCCATTTTGCTTCTTTCATGTCCAGTTTTAAGCCGCATGATTAGGGATAGTTGAGCTAATATTACAAGGACCATTGACTCTAATTATTTTGACTATTGATAAAAACCTAGATGGAATTCACATGCAAGGCTCAGGGCACCAAATAATGATCAGCTCAATAACACACGTTAACAGCTGTTACAAAATGTGGTGGCTTGTCCTGAGTTTTAGGGTTGATTGGATTAGATTATTAACATCTCCCTTTTGGACAGGATGTGGTAAACGGCTTCTTATTGAATTGGATTGTGCATGCTTTAAATGATGAATTTGCTTGTGTGGAAGAGGAAGCCATTGTGCCACGGATGAGAATTGTGTGATGAATGAAGCTGGTTGCTTGGCTGCAGACATGGCTGAGATAGAAAGCTTTAGCAAACGACAGGTTTACAGCAAAATGTAATATTCAGCAGGCAACTCAATTTGATTTGTGTTTGAGTGGAATAACATACACATTTGTCTCTCTCCCTACAACTTGAATTATCGGAAGGAACTGGTTCTTGATATATGATTAAAGTATTTATTGAACGAGTAACCTCATTCCCATATGTTGATTTTAGCATACAGTATGATTGCCTATTAGCCAAAGGATTACTTTCATTTGAGGGGATGCATAAGCCAATGACATAAGGTCCATGTTGATTTTAGTTATCCCGATGAATTGGTTCTCAACAAGTACAAAGTTAAAAGGATTTTATTCCAAGTTTGGTGCCAAAATCAGATTTACCAGTTTCTTTAAAGAACCATATCTCTCAGTCGATATTTATGCAATTGCCCCTTGCCTACCATTATCTCCAGCTCATTCCCTCAGGTTTACTTTAATCTTCCATGACCTCAATTGCACGAGTGGATTTGGATCTAACCAACTGTATATCTTCTCAGCAGTATTTAATGCAGTGTCTCCTGCCAACACAGCACTCCAACTCATTTTGCCAACTTAGTTTAATCCTGCTGCACGAGTGGGCTGTGTTTGGACTGATATGAAAAGGTCAAATATGGATGAAGCAGAAATGGGTTTTGGCGATTAGGATCTTTTCTAATCTAACCAAACACATTTTGTACACTCCAGAAAAACGATAGTGAAAAAAGCTCCTGCCATAGATTCAGATGCTAAGGTAAATAAGAGATGATTAAAATTAAAGGGGAGTCATATCACATACACGACTGACAAAACCAGATTAATTATTGCTGAAATGAGTAACCATCACACGTCCAAAGGCATTAATGAAACCACGTTGAGAAATCCATATTAGGTGGATCTTGCTTCTTGCCTAACATTTGTGCAGCAATCATGTTAACCAATACAGCTTGGTGCGATTTTTCTATCATACACATCAGCCTAACCTATATGCCAGAGGAGACACAAGGAATCAAATTCTTCAATGTATATATCAATGAATGAGATGCTAATGTGGTTATTATTTCAATCTAAAAAACAACCCACCACAGCCATGTCTATGCAATTGTCTCTCTAGCTTATCAGCACTGTCCAGCTCATTACCTATTCAGCCTTGATCTTCGAATATCGTTTCAGGAAAGTCAGACGTAATGCAAGAGTAGGTTATTAGGCACAGACTAACCATAATCTACTGCCTCTGGTTTCACTTTCACCATTTCCGCTTGTCCTTGGTTCTTGGCATACTTTGGAAGCACTGCAAAAAACTAGGTTCCCAACAAGCCGTAGTTGCATTGCCATTATCTGGGGATTATTGATGAACACTCCAAACCCAAATGGGTTCCCTGTAGCCACATCATAATTAGATTAATCAATTCAACCTCCACAAGTGCTAATGTCATTACAGTAAATCTTTAAAATAGCTACCACCTCGTGCATTGCAACATAATATATTGGATCTGCAATCCAAAAAATATCTTTATGATTGAGATTCCTTCTGCCTCCCCCACGTATCATCCATAATAAACTACATACTGTATTTTCCTTTTTATATTGCATGTATGTAAATAGATCCACGTATATGTAAATGCAAAGGCTACAATAAACAAATGTTGGTTTGTTTTATTCTGCAGCAGGCATATAAAACAGTGTGGCAGCTTATTAAAGGTAGCTTGTGCCCTAAGTTCCTAACAGAGGCTTCTGCTAAATATAGAAGAGAGTTGGGGAACAAACACTTTTAAAATGGGGGGAAGCGAAAAGTCTGGATCTTTGCCACCCTTCATGACTCATACACTGCTTTAGAGCTCCATGCCTTATCAATCAACACCCAATGAGTTGGGTGACTTGGTAGGCAAGAGAAGTAATATCATCACATATGCACATGGAAAAATAAGTGTTTTGATTCCTCTTGTCTGTTTGTGTCCCTTGGCCTGCCTCATTTCTCTCACCATCTATATAAGCAAACTCTGAATTCAAAGGAAGCCATTGCAAATCATCTCTCTCAACTCTTTCTTCAACTTCCAAACCCTTCCCAACATCTTTATTCTCGTATTTACGAAGAAAACCCGAAAAATGGCAACTGCTGCTTTCCATGCTCGCTCCAACAGTTTGCCTGCAAGATCACACCCTCTAGTTGCGGAGATCGATGAGCAGGTTTGCAGGTTGAGACAATCTCAAGCTGCCTCCACATCATCATCATCCATAAGCCACAACCTGAATAGCCTTCAGGTTGTGTATGATTGTGTTGACCAGCTGTTCCAACCGCCAGCAACTCAACAAGCCTTGATCAATGACCAGAAGACCTTCAATGAGCTACTGGAGGGGTCTTTGAGGCTCCTGGACTTGTGCAACACTGCCAAGGATGCCTTGTCCCAAATGAACGAGTCCGTTTCTGAACTTCAATCCGCCATCCGTAGAAGGCAAGGTGGTCTGGAAGGAGAAACCAGAAGATACCTGAAGTCCAGAAACACTGTGAGGAAAGCAATCCAGAAGGCCTTGAAGGGTATGGACAGCAAGAAATCCACTTCATCAAACAATGTTGAGGCGATCTCTATGTTGAAGGAAGCTGAGTCTGCTGTTGTCGAGGTTTTTGAGTGCTTGCTTTCATTCATTTATCAATCAAGCTCCAAGCCAAGCAGCTGGTCATTTGTTTCGAAGCTGAAGAAGGTGGCAGCAGCCTCAAGTAATGAGAATGAATTTGCAGAAGTGGATGCCTCTTTGAAGACAAACAAATCTGGAGAAGAGGTCCAAGTTCATCTAAAGAATTTGCAGCCATGCATTCAAGACCTCGAGGAAGGAGTTGAGTGGCTCTTGAGGCGTGTCATTAAAACAAGAGCTTCAATTCTCAATATCCACAATCTGTAGTCTCAAAGCCATACTTGTAAATATGATGAATCAATCATCTCTCTAAACAACATAGATATTCAATTCATAAGTATACAAGTTCTCATGGAAAATTCTGTCCCACCTTTACTTTATTGCTCGATCTTCCAGCGCCTCACATGCCCTTCTGTTCATTTCAGTAACTGCATTTTCTAATCAAACTGTGCAGCTAACCAAGTTGCATCAAACACTGGGTTGAACTGAGAGGAGAAGAGTATGCATGAAGGAGCTGAATAGAGACACATACCCCTGTAGTAGATGTAACATACTGGTCATTATAAATCAACTTACAAGGCTGAGATCACTAAACGCTTAGAACAGTTCTAGGTTGCTGATCTTTCACAAAATAGACAATGAATGAGCATACAGTTTACGTAGAGGTTGCTAACAGTGCTTTTAGCACAAAGATTGGCGCCGCTAGGAATGGTGTGGGTTTATAGACAAGGACCACACAACTGGAAAAATACAAATTACGTCTAATCCGGAGATGGTAGACAATTGCTTTGAACTCTGACAGATTATTTTTCAACTTCTGCAACAATCTCTTCCGTTATTCTCCATACCAAATTCCAGTACACGGGAAAAAGAAAATAAAAAGCTGAAGCAGATGTCTTTTATCATCCCAAACAAGATATTCTGTAATTTCACTTGTAAAGCTGCCGGAACCTCTTGCAGGCTTCCAAAACATTCCCTCTGTGACCAAAGGCACTCACCCTGACAAAACCTTCACCGCCAGGGCCAAAACCACTACCAGGTGTGGTTACTACATGGGTCTTCTCCAGAATCTCAGCAAACACATCCCACGAGCTCCGGCCAGGGAAGTGAACCCACACGTAAGGGGCATTCCTCCCACCGTACACCTTAAACCCGAGTGAATTGAAGGTATCCACTATAATCTCTGTGTTTCCTTTGTAGAATCCAATTACTTCGTGCATTGCCTGTTGAGGGAGATGGAGTTCAGCTACATCTATGGAGTGTGCATTTGCAAGACAAACTTGGAAGAAAAAAAGCACAAGGAACTGAAGAACACGAGAATAATGAGAGGGAACCTTGAGGCCTTCTGGTGACAGGCAAGCCAGGCCACCAGCCTGTGCAACTGTGGAAGCACCGTTGAAGCAAGTGCAGACAACTCGATTGAAGTCCCTGGCAACAGGAAACCCATCAGAGAAAAGAAGCTCCTTTGGAACCACAGTCCAACCTAGCCGAACTCCGGTGAACCCAGCATACTTGCTGAAAGACGAAGTCTCAATTGCTACCTGCGATCAAACAGAAACCTGGAGCATGAGCTATAACAACATCAAGTAGCCATAAGAAACCAAGGGGAAACTGCCAAAAGCAGCAGCCCAAAGGTCCAAGAAAGCAAGGACTGAAAATCTGCATTAGTTAGCCTGCCCAACAAAACAGCAACTGACACAAGACAAAGAATCATCAGAACCTTTACCTCTCTTGCCCCGGGAATTTCAAATATGGACCTAGGATTGTCATCAGACATATACAATGCATATGCCGAATCATAGACAATAATTGACCCATTATCCTTGGCAAACTGTACTAAGCGGGTCAGTTGCTCCCTTGTTGCAGCAGCTCCAGTGGGGTTGTTAGGGGAACAGAAAAATATGATGTCTGTTCGAGGGGACTTAGATAAATCAGGAAAGAAACCATTCTCCGGAGTGCAATCCATGTATTCAATGTTGGCATACTTCTCCACATCCTTTTGGAACTGCCCAGTCTGACCCATTATGACACTAGAGTCGACATAAGCCTGCGAAATGTCGAAACTAAGAAATTAGAGAAAGCCACAACAGTCTTAGTGTCATTACAGGGCCATCAGTTTTTCTTGACATGATATTACATATTATGTGGGTTCTGTTGTATTATAGCAAGTTTAAAGTGAAGTGAAAGATGGCTGATATTTCCCAAAAAGTTAACTTTTCACATAAAGCAACAACCGAATTTACCGGATATGATGGATCTTGCACTGCCATTGTGACATTAGAGCCAAAAACAACCTGTCAAATGACGGAGGCAAGAGAAATCTTTACACAGGCATGAAAATATAATGAGAAATTGAAAAGAAGCCACATAAAACGATAAGCAAAACATTGAATTGTGCATCAACAAACCTGAAGACGTGATATGTCACATTTGGCACCATCAGAGACAAATATATCATCATCATCAATACCAAGATCAGCATAGAAAGTTGACCGAATCGCGGCTCTCAATGGCTACATAGAGCAACATGACAGGTTAACTGGTTGAGAACCAAACACCTCAATATACAGAAAATGAAAAGGTGAGCCTGACATGGGTTAGAATTCCTTTCGTTAACATTAAGCCGCTCTCATGGGATTAGTAGCTGTAGAAATGGAGTTTAAGATCTATAGATAACATTGCCAACAGGAGATAGACAGCTTGGAATTACCATACTCACTGTATCATCAGAAGTATGTAAAGTGTTAACAAAATTGGGACGTGTAGAGTAACCATGGCCCTTCTGCTTAGGTATTTTTTAGAGAGACAATAGTTGACTATTAATTGTTTAAGGAATGCAAAGAAAACGAAGAAGCTTTACAGTGGATCAAGGCTTCCAAATTTCTGTGAATTAACTGAATGAGAAACTGGTTCCTTAAGAGTAACATACCTTTTCCCCTTGCTCAGCCCCATAGCCGCTGTAACCTTCAAGAGTAGATAATGCTTGACATTTCTGAAAAATGTAATTTAGATGATAAGTACTCAGACAAAATGAGCCAACAGCAGTGGCCAAAGCACCTCAAACATCATTTGTGAAAAAACATTTGATGTATGTATGCGTAGTAAAAAACATCACAGCTATACTATACGATTACTATTAAGAACCACATAACAAAGATCACAGAGACTCAATACTAGCAGTAGTGCCATGTGTACAGGAAGGGCAGTACCTTCGACATTGAAGATGTTATCACATCTGGAATGGGCTCAGTGGTGTCTCCTATTCCAAGGCTGATCACTTGGGCATCAGGGTATTTCTCCTTATGGGCATTCCTTCTCCTAGCAACCTGTTTTGGGACAGACGATGAAGTGACATGGATTACATCAAGGTCCAAATATCTTAAACAACATAATAAAATAAACAAAACAACATTATGCTAGTCAGTAACAAATTCTATAACTAGCAATAATGCATAAAAAAGGAAAGAAGATTCATCTCCATACCCTGGACGACAAGATCTTTCCTGGTTTAGCCAGCAGTCATTTTGCACAATATCTTAAGAGGAGACTAAAGTAACTAAACTTAGACAAGTATGGATAAAAGAACAGTACACACTGTTTCTAGATGGAAAAGAGCTTTAAAAACCAACGGAGCAAATAAGGATGAAGCTGGCACACAAGTTTCTGCAAATGATTTGCAGCTGGAGGATGCAAGTGAATTAAACAAGGGAAAGGCCAGTAGATGTAACCACACAATTAAAACGAGCTCTAAGCACTGGGAGATGCTTGCATCTAATAGGCAAACGCAATCAATAGATTCAGACAAAAGTTCAATGAGCGCGATCGAAAAAGGACTTGAGCATACATCTTCTCAGCATAAGGCACTCTACGGTTAAATGATGTCACTTTCTAACACAACCAAATCATAAAATCTATTCAATACCATCGAAATAATAGCACAAGTGTATTCAGGGAAGCGCCATTTATGTACCTCGGGAAACAAGTAACCAGCTTGAAGCTTCCCCATGTTGGCATTGCGAGAGACATTGGTCTTATAAGCTTCACAACAGCACAAACAAACACAGACCCAGTATTTTATCACCACATTTGCATAATGTCAAAAAAGAGGGGGGGGGGGGGGGGGGGGGAAGGGAGAAGACAAGGACCAGTCTGAGTCTTCGCTTCCTGAGGAGTCGCAACACACCTGCAAATCCCGAAGTTTGGCGGCGGAAGCGAAACGTTCTTGTTCCTGCAACGACAAAGAGGAATGGAAAAACCATGAGAGAAAAGGAAAGGGAAGATGAAGCATCGTCTTTCATAATAGGATATAAGAAAGCAGGGATACCTGGAGGCGGAGGAGTTGAAGGCAGAGAGAGGGGCGACGAAAGGCGATGAAGAAGAAGAGAGAGAGGCGTTGAAATGGTACTGCTGGAGAAGCGGCATCTTTGCGGCCGGAGAGGGAAAATGACGAACTTCAAATTAGAAGGAAGGATTGAGGAGCTGCAGCGGCTGGAACCGATGCCGGACTTCAATGGAAGCAAGGAAGGAAGGAAGAGAAAAGAGAGTCTGTCCGAAAGCACCAGCAAATGAGAGAGCAGTTCCCGTTTGTATTCAGCTCAATGTGGTAAGGGTTTCATGCTCAAGCAATCGCCTTGCCCGAAGAAAATCTGAAACCCTAGCCCTAGAAATCGACTGAGATGAAGGAAATTCGGGGAATATGATCTCTTCACTGTTTTCCCGCGGAAAGCCGTTTATCAAACCAAATCACTGTAACAGCAAGGCTTGGGCCTGATGTTCAGTAAGCCCAGGGGAGAGCCCAAAAGAACCTTTGGCCCAAGAATAGTACTTTACAGCATCCGCTCCCCTTACGGCCTAATCTACAGAATATTATAAGAGGTTTCTCAAAAACTACCACATCGGTAGTGAAATGAGGAAGAGAGTCGATACCAATCTATAAGATATATGATGGAGATTCATGACTCAACTTTCTTCCATTTCAAATTTTCTGTAACGAGAGTGAAAGTAGGAAGGGTACTTTCGTCATTGTAATTGTTTATTTTTTATTTGAAAAAAATATCAGTGTCAAGATTTGAACCCGAGTCTCTTCTAACAAGGACAAGAGTTATAACCAATAAGACTAAACAAATTTGTTGCATTTATTTATAAAAAGAACATACAAGAGGCAAAATTCTGAAAATCAAATGACTTTTCCAGCATAGTTAGCTACCCCACTAAGTCTTTCTTAAGCATTTTTAGTGTTGGATCTTTGATTATAATTTATTATTATTATTTTATTTTGACTTCAATAATAATGGTAGTCTATCTTATAAATGGAGGATAATCTTAAAACCGCAATCCCAATATCATTTATTCGAATATTGCATATCAAATTACAATATTAAATATATGCACACACAACCACATATATATGGGTCAGACTGGTGTACTCCTGGAGTATACTATACTTCAGGTACTCTTCGTGAGATATCTCTATCTAGACCGTGATTTTTAACCGAGTTTGGGGTATGATACTCTACCCTAACCTCTAATGGATAAACCCCAGGCTACAATTCTCTAAACTCAAACCCAAAGTTCAATTTAATGGAAAATTTAATTGACCATTGAGATTGATTGGAGCTCAACAAAGTACATCTAATGTCTAGATCATGTGGAGTATACTATACTCTTGGAGTATACCAGTATACTATACTCCTGGAGTATACCAGTATGTGTGTGTAGTGTTTTCTATCATATTTTGAGTAAAATCAAAAGGTAACTCATACCCTTGGTAAGAAATGGCAATCTATACTTTGAATTAACCTAATTTCGAGACGAGACACTATATTCTAACCCTTGACGAGTGAACTCTAGGTCTTAACTATTTAAATCATAGACCCTAAACCAAGGATTATAAAACCTCATCAGAGGTTGTACCGAAAAAGTCGGCAGGAGGGTATTTTATGCGAAAACTGTGGTTAACCGTGATTCAGCCGTTTCACAACACTTCATTAGTCAAATATTTTTAGTAATCCTATATTATTTAGGGATAATATCCTATTTTGTGCTAAACTTTGACGTAAATAACAATTTTGGCATGAACATTCAAATAAGATAGTTTTGTCCGAATTTGAAAGAAATTAACAAATTTGACCCGAAATTTGGGTCGGTTATTAATATTGAGGGTCAAACATTTCTTTTTTCTATGACTCAACATACAATGTGAAGGTGACTGTGGTGTGAATTTCACGTCATAGGTATAATATGCTATTTTGCCCTACACTTTCAAATAAGACAGTTTTGTATGAATTTTCAAAGAAATGGATAACTTTGACCCAAAATTTAGGTTGTCGTTAATATTGATGGGAGGGGTACAAAGAGAGATAGTTTCGTGCTTTGGGATTTTTGGGGGCCTGAATCAATTTCTTTTTCCTTTTAATATGATTTCTGCAAGTAAATATGAAAATATTAGGATATACTAAGTGTCCTATTTTGTGGGCTTTTTTTCTTCTGAAAAATTCACTTTTTTAGACTTTATAAATAAATGACTTGGAAGCCACATCGCAATCGAAACCTCTCTATCACAACCGTCAATATTAAAGGTCAATCCAAATTTCCGACCAAATTTGTTCATTTCTTTGAAAGTGCAAACAAACCTATCTTATTTGAAAATTCGAGCCAAAATTGTCTTTTACATCAAGTTCATGCCAAAATAAGGTATTGTCCCTATGACATGAAAGCCACATCGCAACCACCTGAGCATTGTATGTTGAATCGATGAAGAAATATTTAACTTTTAATATTAACGAACAACATAAATTTCAGTCCAAATATTTATGGTCAACTTACCAATCAAAGTAGTCTCTGAAAGTATCAGCAACACTGACAAAGACAAACATATATAATTCAAAATTAGTTGCACTCAGCCTTAAGTTTGAAGCTCTCTTGAGAACCCCGACTATTTTCTAGGCATCTTCGGGGACTACGGACTAGCATGCTTCCAAACCAGCTGATCCTTATTCTACTTTCTATGAAGAGGAATAATATGGGTGTATCTGTTAGACATTAATTAGGGTTACAAATGATCTCATTTCTAAAATCTGTTAGGACCAATTTTTTTCTTTCCTCCTGAGGGTTCATTATGTATGTTTTAGGAAAAACAACTCTAATCTTAAACTATTTTCCATTTTTAAGTATTGAAAACCTATTATTTGTATGTTTTTCTTTTCTTCTTTGAACAATTATATTTTCTTTTTTCAGTGATATGTCGTATCTTCTTATTATATTGTAAGCATGTTATATGAACATATTTTTTGTCTAGACTTTCCCGGCCAAGGGGCCGGGCCCGGTGCTAGTGGTATAAACAAGGAAACGAGACTCCGATTTAAACCATGATCCTTCAGGCAGTAAACGGGGCATGATGAGTGGGCCGGGTCTCGCAAAATTATGCGAGATGGGTGTCCAGTCCAAAGCCTGGTTACGACAATTTGGGCACCCCAATTTGTACCTATCTGATCCCCATTGTCTTACAAAAGCCTGAAGTAAAAAAGAGGCCCAATAGCCAATTACAATTTGGGCCAAGCCCAATTGTACCTATCTAATCCCCAGTGTCTCACAAAAGCTTGAATCGAAAGTGAGGCCCAAAAGCCCAGTTGTGGCACTTCTGCTGCTCTTCAGTAGTGTTTGTAGTTTATGCAGTTTCTATTGTGAAGGAAACACTGCATATATTAAAGAATTCTCCACTTATTCTGCAGTTTCTGTTGAAGGAAATAATGTGTCTGCTGAAATAGTTAAGTAAAGGGTCCTGATAATGGAGAAGAGAGATGGGGGGCAATGAACATTTTCAAATTGGGGGAAGCGAAAAGTATGGATCTTTGCCTACCTTCATGACTCATCCCACTGCCTTGATCAAGCAAATTGTGACAAAGCCAATGAGTTGGAGCTATTGGTGGGCAAGGAAACATTGCAGAGACACACTGTTGGGATAATGTTGGATCTGGAATCCAAGATCATATGGATAAATTATGGTTGCACATGGAGATAATAAGATGCTTTGATTCCTCTTGTCTCTCAGCTGTTGCATTGCATCCTCCACCTGCCTCTTTCTATATAAAACTTGCAATAGCTGCTGCCAGAGAAGGCATTCCAAATCATCTCCATCCTATCTTTTCTCAATCCTTGCTCTCATATTCTCACCAACAAAACCAAAAATGGCAGCTGTTTCTTTTCATGCTCGCTCTAACAGTTTGCCTACAGGATCACACCCTCTAGTCTCGGAAGTCGATGAGCAAGTTTGCAGGTTGAGGCAATCTCAAGCTGCTTCTACATCATCCATTGGCCACAACTTGAATAGCCTTCAGGTTGTGTATGATTGCATTGACCAGTTGTTCCAACTGCCAACAACCCAACAAGCCTTGATCAATGACCAGAAATGCTTCAATGAGCTGTTGGATGGATCTTTGAGGCTTTTGGACTTGTGCAATGCAGCCAAAGATGCCTTGTCTCAGATGAAAGAGTCCGTTGCTGAACTTCAATCTGCCATTCGTAGAAGGCAAGGAGGTTTTGAAGGCGAAACCAGAAGATACCTCAAGTCTAGGAAGACTGTGATCAAAGCCATCCAAAAGGTCTTGAAGGGTATGGATAGCAAGAAATCCACTTCATCCAGCAACGTTGAGACCGTCTCCACGTTGAAGGAAGCTGAATCTGCTGTTGTTGAGGTTTTGGAGTGCTTGGTTGCATTCATTTCTCAAACAAGCTCAAAACCAAGCAGCTGGTCATTTGTTTCCAAGCTGAAAAAGGTTTCTGCAGCATGTGAGAACGCATTTTCCGATGTGGATGCCTCTTTGAAGACAAACAAATCTGGTGAAGAGGTCCAAACTCATCTGAAGAATCTGCAGCCATGCATTCATGATCTCGAGGAAGGAGTTGAGTGCCTCTTCAGGCGTTTGATCAAAACAAGAACCTCAATTCTCAATATCCACAATCTGTAGTTACATCATCAAAACAGTACCAAGTTGTATAGAAAATTTTGATACTCAAATCTATCAATATACATGGTCCTCAAGTTCCTGAAAATTTATGTCTCTTTCTATTCATTGCCTACCAACCTGCACCTTTCTGCCCACTTTAATTACCATCTACTGGTAGGATAAAAAAATAACTGCGAAAGCAGTTTCTGGGATCATTTCAGATAATTAAGGTAAATAAGATCTGATGAAGATTAAAGAGGCATCATAATCACATGGAAGACTGACCAAACCAGCTAAATTAATGCAGAAATGAGTAATCATCACACGTCCAAAGGCAATAATGAACACGTTGAGAAACCATATTAGGTGGATCTTGCCTTCTATTGGCACAACAATCATGCTAATCTATGCAGCTTGGTATGAATTTTCAATCATATACACTAATCTAAACCCTATATGTCAGATGGAGGAGACAAAAGGAATCAAATTTTACAATGTAAATGAGGTGGAAATGTGGTATGAGTTTGATCTAAAAACAAGCCATCTCAGCATGTCTATGCAATTATCCAGCTCATTACATATCCAGCTTTAATCTTCCAATCTAGTTTAAGGGAGGTCAGATGTAATGCTGGAGTAGGTTGCCTGACATAACTTTCAAAGGAACAGTGATTTCACTTAAACCAAAACAACCATAATCTACTACCACTGTGATTTCACTCACCATTTCAACTTGACCTTGGTTCTGCTATTTCTTGTGAGGTAAGCAATGATTGTAAACCTGGAAGCTAAAGGTCCTTCAGTTGCAAGAAAGCATCCTTTTGAAGCACTGTGCAAACATAGAAGCACTGAAGAGAGATGTCAAGTGAATTTAGCTATGCCTCCTTGAAGACTAATGTGAAAGAATCACTGAAATATCGTTCATTGAGTGGTTATTTTGTGATTTGCCAACTTCTGGGGTTGGTTGCCAAACTTTGGGGGGGCATTTCGTAATTTATCCAAATGTGACGTCCATGCCCTTTTGCCTCCTTTTAAAATCTTAGGGTTTTAGGTTTTTACCAAACGGTTCGTTCCCGCCGTCACCCCAACCTTTTGCCTCCAGTCTTCCTTCCCTGCCGGGCACCGGCTGCCGCCGCGTCAAGTCTCCGATCGTTTGCTGCTCTGCTTGCCCGTCATTTCGACCTGCCGCCATCACGGACCTTCGTCTTGCTTCATCTCCTTGAAGTACCTGCTTCACTGGACTCCTGTATCTACTACTCTTCCTGTCAGTGATTGTTTTGGTTTTGCCTGTGGGCTTTGTCGATTCAGCTGAAAAAACCCAGATACCCAACTCCCCCACTGCACCATACGAAGAAACTCTTTTGGTTCAGAAACAATACATTTGCAAAGTTGGGGAACTGAATTCAGCTAAAGATGCCACGAACAACCACGGTGGAGTGCCCCGGTTGCCCTCCGATTCGAGCCCTAACCTTCGACGCTCTAGGTCTCATCAAAGGTTGTGATACTTGCTGCCCTGCTGGCTGCTGCTGTTAAATTCTGAGAGGCTACGAATTGAATTTGTTAAAAACTGGATACTGATTGCTTTTGGGGTTCGTTTTCCTTATCTCAGTCACTGAGTCTCGAGGCAATAGCGGAATTCCTCAGGTGGTGGAAAGATGGGGGGATGCCGATTCCTCAAAACGTGTGCTTGCTGCCTCCATTGATGATCGTGCAAACGACCCAGTATGTTGTGAATGAGCTTCTTGCCTGGCGTTTTTTCAAGTTCAGATTTTTGGTAGCTTCAATTCTTTTGTTGGGTTTATTGCAATTATCATCTCTTGTACCTTTGACTGTTCAATTTTCATTCCCTTCCCTGCAGATATTGGCTGTCGCAAGGAAAAATAGCACGGTTAGTTACTTAATTTGTGCTGATTGGGTTTGAGGATGCAGTATTTTCACTGGTTCTATACTTACCCTAGCTTCATATGTAACAGATTGAAATTTCTAATCCTCTTAATGGGGACATTTTTGTGTCACTATCCAATATTGGCGATGGTGATGCTCACCCTGAAGATGATGATGATATTGCTGGTTTGCATTTATTCAAGAAGAGCAGATCGGTGGGGTATGTCAGCCCAGTGATAAATAGTGCCATTTCAATGTTGAGTCATGTGTACAGTCATAAGCAACTATCATGATATTATGCTCACTGTTGGTTTAATAACTTGTCATATAGATCATGCTCTTTGCTTACATGTACAACCAAAGGCAATGCAAGTTTGAGGTCAGTCGACATTACACCTGCAGGGAACACTAACAATGATGGTGCCTCTAATTCGTGGAAAGTTTGTGCTGCTGGTAATATCTTATGTGCTAAAGTCCACGGAAGTGAAAAACATGCTTTATTTGGAGGGTAAGTGCATTCGCTGTTTGACTATCCGTCTTTTGGCTTGTATTTCTCAAAATCTTGAAGAAACTAAGTTTTCCTTTAAATTCAGGAAAGGTGTTGAAGTAAATTTGTGGGATCTTGAGAGCTCTACTAAGATTTGGTCGGCAAAACCTGTGAGTTACATGCATACCCTTTCTCTAATTGCATGGTATTGAGAAAGGCCTATGTTTATTCACTCATTACCAAATGTGTTTATTCATTAATTACACATGTCAATCGTTCTACCTCTTTACAGCCTCCCAAAAACAGCCTTGGCATCTTTACTCCAACATGGTTTACGTCTGCAACATTCCTGACAGGGGATGATCACCGGAAGTTTGTGGCTGGCACCAATAGCCACCAGGTGAGCTTAAATTACGGTTGTTACTTCTTTCTGGAACAATTTGTAACATTAAGATTAGTGTCACAGCACTCTTTTGGATGGATTCGATGTTCAGTCCACGTGACTACTTGTTATGGTTGGCATGTGTCCTGTGGTGAAGTGATTTTTCCGTTTTCTTTTTCTTGTCCAAGGATGCTCTTCTAGATCATGATCATGATGGACAAGCAATATGTGGTTTTGCTGTGTGTTACGATATGTGGATTGATATTGTGATAACTTTTACTGTCATCTAAGATATCGTTTTCTAAACAGGTCCGTGTATACGATACTTCTGCTCAACGCCGACCTGTGATATCTTTTGATTTTCGGGAGACCCCTATTAAATCAGTAGCTGAAGATCATGATGGTTATACTATTTATGTGGGAAATGGCTCTGGTGACCTTGCTTCTTTTGACACCCGCACAGGTAAATTAATACGTGGGGGCATCTTATTTGATTAATCTCTGGTGATACTTTGGGTGTTTAGAAGCATTACTTGGACTATCTCTGTTGCTACTTTTGTTTAATTTCCCTTTCTGGAATTATTTTTCTGCAGGAAAATTATTAGGTTGCTTTCTGGGGAAGTGTTCTGGAAGCATAAGATCCATAGCCCGACATCCAGATCATCCGGTGATAGCATCATGTGGTGAGTGATAATGCTTGTGGCATATTAGCAAATGAAATTTTTGATTCAGTGAAGCGATCAAGTTTTTCTGAATTGGTTCTCCCATCGTTCCGTTTGCATTGAGTTTCTTTTACTTAACTGCTTTTGCCCTTTATAGGTCTGGATAGCTACTTACGTTTGTGGGATGTGAAGACAAGAGAACTTCTTTCAGCTGTATGTCTCCCCTCCTGCAGCCCCCTGCCTTTTCTTATTATATCCATTTTGCTTTAACTACTGCACAATTTCTATTTGCTTTCACATAAGAATTGGGAGCTTGTTATCATGAATATAATCCTTTCTCTCCTGACTAATTTTGTCTAATAAATTATTGTTGCATGACGCAGACTTTCCTGAAGCAGCATCTCACATGTGTCGTCTTCGATTCCAATTTTTCTGACAAAGGTTAGTAACCATTCTTTAGTTTGGATAGTGTATGCCAGGAGAATTAGCATTAGTATTTTCCTGGAAATGCCCTTTCTGCCTCTGTTGAGCTTGGAAGATAGAAGTCTTAGGCCATAGCTGGTGGGTTTCTTTTTCGGTGTCGAAAGAAACAAATTAGGATTACCTTGAGGTTTCATTCAACTCGTGTGCTTTTTCCTTGTGAGTGGAATTTTTTGTGTTTAGTTTCATCTAGAAAATTTATTCTGTTGAACCGTAGCCCTATGCTTTAAATATCAAGCAACCCATAAATGGTATAAGTTCTGTTAGCGAAAGCATGATCATTTAGGGCAGGAGAAGATTAAGTTTTGTTAAGTGAGCATAGAACTTGATCATGGAGAAGTTTGAGTGTGACGTCCGTCGTGTCTCAAAGCATCCATGCAACTCTTCAATTCAGAGGTTTTGAAGTCTTTGATAGCTAGGTAATGAGTCGGCTAATTGAGAATACTCTACTTAATACGTTTCACAAGCAGAAGTAGCGCCTGATGCACAGAACACAGGTGAGATCCCGGGAGAAGATGAGCAAGAAGCATTGAAGCCTGCAAAGAGGAAGAAGTCGTCTGAAGAAATGAAAGGCAAAAAGAAGAAGTCGAGAGACGATGGAAGCAAGAAATCAAAGAAAAAGAGCCGTCCGATTGAGAGTGAGGAGTGATGATATGTAATAAACAGTGTTCGATATCCAACACATGAATCTAAAGTCTTTGCTACCAAGTTTAAAAATACCCTTGAACTGAATTTTGTATTTCCTTGTAATGTGTTCTCTCTTCTTTCATTACCACTTCCCGAGCATCACTGTGATTCTACTTTCTTCCCCTTGTGGTTGTCAGTAAGTCGAAGAAGTGTTGCGAATTTGTTATCATATGGAGCAGGCTGATCGTTGAGGCACAAATGCAAGGATCATGGCTGTTTTTGCTCAACACTCATGGTAGTTTTATGCTCAAATCATCAATTGATCAATGTGGTGTACTTTCTACAACTATGGTCAGCTAATGGTGTTGTTGGCTTGATAACGAACGAATCATTGAAGCCAGTGTTGGAAGAGTGGGATTTATGTAGCAGTGCCACGGATGGATTGTCACGCATGAAGGGAATCTATTGCTAAACCTCTGGCAATTGTTAGAAGGTATCTGAACAGTTCCAGTAAGCTTGTGGAGAAAGCAATCCTGGAAGTCTTGAAGGGTGCCACAGAAAGCAGAAAATCCCCGTCGAATGATCCTGAGATTGTCACCATGTTCATGGAAGCTGAATCTGCCACTGCCATGTCGTTGGAATCCCTGTTGTTGTTCATTTTTTTAGTCGAGCAGGTGGTCATTAGTTTCCAAGCTGGTGAAAAACCAGAAAAAGGAGGGTTGCAGTAGTATCTAAAGATGAATTTGGCTATGCTTCCTTTAAGATAATGAAGATGTCCAAGTTCAGCTGAAGAAGCGGCGGCAGCCGTGCACTGGAGATGTCGATGAGAGCTGCAAATTCTCAACACGTCAATATATGAAAGATATTACTTGTAGATTAGTAATTTAGTATACATCTGTAAACCTGATACCTTGCACTTAACACTACACAGACAATGATCTTCCCTTTATAAATTTTGCATCCCTCCCTTGTGTTAGTTTATTTCTTTCCTCCCAAGACTGAAAAATCTCCATTGCACCTGCGGAAGTACACTTCACCTGCCATGAATTGCTGCTTGGCATTGTTCATATTCGATGGTGAGATTTGACGAGTCTGTAGCTTAGGCAGCACAAGTCTAGCGTATCATATTAATCAACACTGCAACCGCAGCTCAAATCCTGCTCTGCCAGTAGCGTGTTACAAGCTACTCCTTTGTGTGTAGAGAATCCTGGACTCACTCGTTCGTCGAAGCAGAAATGGACGTCAGAAACCAGCGATCCCACGTTCAATGCACTGAAAGTTATGATGGCTTTCTCTTCTCCATCATCAGAATGGCCAATTCAGTGTATCTTGCCCCATCTATCAGCACTGCAAATCGCGTTGATTCGGTGTTGTTACTGCCTCAGCTGCACATAACTTTTAGCAGGCTTCGAGGGGGGTGGGGATGAACTAACTAGCTTGTCGGAGATTCGATCACGCTCTATTGATCTACAATCGATCTCGGTGGAAGCTATGAAGTTGGCCAAGAAGAAGCAAATGGAGGTCGGACATGGTTTGATTACTTCAGCTGCGTTTGAGCTTCCTGATGGGTTTTTTTATACCACATCGTCTAAACTAGCATGTAAGAGCAAATGGCTTGCAACAAATGACGAGTTCTGTAGATTGAACAAATCATACCTTTCTCGGCCTTTTGGCTAAGATCAAGTGTAGTATCTGTTCTTATCAGTTTAATATCTGATACGTGGGCCAACGGCCCACACGATATTAAATTAATTTTTATAGGGGGAGAGGCCCATTACTGGAGCTTGCTTCAGGGGCCTTCTCGAGTGTCGCCCTTGTGTTGCACTATTGCATGGGCCTGGCGCACCCCACCAATTCAAGTCCAATAATTAAAATTTTAAACTGTACGTGTATTAATCATGCCACATGATTTTGGTTGAGAGATCAGGATTTGTATGATTTATGGGCTTGGGCCCGAATCACGCTAGTCCAATGGCACAAACCCATTGGGGCCTAAGTTGGGACAAAAAGCCCATGATCTAAAGGCCAGATTACATTTTATTATAGAAAATCATAATATGTAGATGTGTAGTGTCTTCACTTGTTACAATTTTTCAAGGTCGGTCGTTTCGACGGATACATAATTAAGGCTAATTACTTCTAAGATAAACCATCTAATTAATTAATTAATTACAAGTTTAAGAGAGTAGCCAAAGGGGTCAAGTTCTGATGTAGCCAAGGGCTGATCAAGCAAAAAGGGTCCTGGCTCCAATCCCCCATCGTACTGCTCAGCTTGCTCGGCACTTGAAGCTCCGGCAACTTGCAATGGTTCATCACCTTTCCCTCCCCGGCCGCGGCCGCGGCCGCCGGTGGGAACTGCTGCAGCAACGTACAAGAAGCTGAAACGACGTCAGCAGCAGACGGCACCGTTTTGTAGTCCTCACTTCCGCCATCATCATAATAACCACCATCGTAGTTGGTGGACATATCAGCAGCTTCCGTCTTCATCATAAAGGCCACGTGTCGGTTCACAACCTCGGGAGGCCCAGGGTTCGGGTATTGAAGTGGGCCGTCCTGGAGCGGGCCGGACGCTGTGGCCCATGGGCCTGGCGACATGGACATGGTGGTGGTATCTAGTGAAGGGGATGATGATGATGATAATAATGGATTGAGGTTACTGTTCATGAAGGATTGTTGTTGTTGCTGTAGTTGTTGCTGTTCTTCCATTGCTGCCCTCTGTTCCAAGACTCTCAGAGAAGTTGCCTTCCTGTAGATCTTGCACAAGACAATGTCCTGTGAAGTAGTTTAGAACATGTGTAAGTTGGGCTGGAAATTGCCATTTTCTTGAGGTAGCTTTTGACAAGCAACCATCTATATGATTTTGACTTCTTTGCAACTAGTAAGAGTCCACGCTGCTACTACTCGAAATAGAAAATCAACAAAAATATCTAAACAAATCGTCACGTCGAACTCATGATTCTCAATAATAACACCACGATTTTCAATAATAACGCTAGGGGAGTTAATAATTTAAAACATGTGTAAATTGTCTGAAAATTGCCATTTTGTTGAGGTAGTGTTATACAAGTTAAACACATGTTATGATTTCGACCTCTGTGGCACATCATACACACGAGTTCACACAACTAGATCGTAATAGAGTATATAAACAAACCGTCGGTTCTACGCAGATTGACCTCTTGGTTCTCAATAATAACGTACAAAAAGTGCTTTCCTCCCCCCCCCCCCCCCCCCCCCCCCCCCCTCCCCTTCATTTCGTGTTTGATATCCACTGACATAAAATCATACGTACTCTTACTTCACTATAACGCATATCATGAACATAACTAAACAAGACAAGACACGAAAGTAGAGGTTGTAATGATTTTCATCCCCAGAGAGGCGTTCTTTTTTTCGTTCGAAACACACAAGGACCATTGAGACAAAAGACATTAATTTCTTAGAGAAAGGCTCAAAACATACTCGGCGATGGACCAGAAAACTCCTCGACATGTGCGTCGTCGTCCAATAGAACTGTTAGAGTTTCAATTATCGAAACTGTGTGTCGGATGTCTCGAATTCAAATTATTGTGTACTAACAAAATCTAAGTCGCTCACAAAAATTTCGGACGAAAAAAGGGAGAGAGAGAGAGAGAGGGGGAGATCAGTCTCACACCTTGGGAAGAGCTGAAGAGTCAGGGAGGCGGTACTCGTTCATGACCCAATCGGTCTTGGTCCCTCGTGGAGCTCTGCCCTGGTAGAAAACCAGAGTCTTCCTCAGCCCAATCTCCCGCTTGGGCTCCGACAGCCGCCAGATCTTCCGGTCCGACCCGGTCGCCTTCCAGAACCCTTTCTCCGTCGTCCGGTTCGGCCGCCCGTGCTTCCTGTCCTTCGGGACATAGAAATACCACTCCCTCTCCCCGTCCGTCTTCGCCAATCCTACCAACGCCAAAAACCCAACATCAGTTTCACGGCTCCGAAATCGGGGTTTTTAATTAATTGGTTCATCGGAAAACAGGGGAAATGAAAGAAAACACGTACTGGGAAGCTCCCTGGGGTCGTAACGGTAGATGTTGAGGTAGCCGATGACGTCGAGGCTGATGAGCTTCTTGCCGAAGATCTCGTTCTTGAGGTAGAATTCGACCAGCTCTTCCTCGGTCGGGTGGAATCGGAACCCGGGCAGGCCGAATCGGTGATGTTCTGAGCTGATTTCATTAGTGTCAGCCATGGATTGGGATTGGAAAAACAGAGTATATTTGCTTTGTCAGTAGTAGTGGAGTTTAGTGTACACAATGTATAATGGAGAATGTGAGGAAAATGATTCCGTTGTGTTCTCTTGTTGGTTGTGCATGGAACAAAAGGGACAAGCAAGCTTGGCGCAAAATTTATATTGGGGTGTCAGAGTTCTGTGGAATTTTTTTTTTCTTTCTCTTGTGGGAAGAGACTAACTATTGGGATTGAATTGAATGACCAAGTCTTGTGAGGAGATTGTGTGGTGGTGGTGGGGTTAGAGGTGTCAACAAGGTTGGGTTTGATTGAGTTAAAACTTAATCAGGTTGTGAGTTAATCGGGTTGAGAATTTTCTGTTTTGGAATAATAAGATTATTTAGGTTAATGGGTAGATGTGTTATGTGTTAATTTGGATAGGGTTTGCGGGTTAATAGTTGATTACATTATGTGTTATTCATGATCTGATGTTAGGGGTTTGCGGGTTAATGGTTGATTACATTATGTGTTATTCATGATCTGATGTTAGGGGTTTGCGGGTTGATTTGATTATGTGTAGTGGTTGTTATACTTATAGGGTTTTTATTTTTGTTTTCTCTTTTTCATCCAACTCAAGTGACGGACATGTTGTTAAGAATTGGTTTTGCAGTATTATCAGGTTGGGTGGTTCTTGACACCTAAAGGCGGAACACTTGAACTAGTCGAGTTGATTGGGTAGCAAGCAAAGCGAATCATGGACAAATAATTATGAATCACGAGTCACTACCTACACGGTCGAGTCCAAAATTGTGAGCGGGTTAGTCTGATCAACCCGGATTTAAGAAAAACTTGGAATCATAGGTAACAAATAGAAAGAAAGACATTAAGAAATTGCAAAAAGATGATGATTGATGATGATGGTTCATGAGAAGGAATTTCAGAGTAGCAAGACAAAGGAAGGAAGGTGAAGTTGCCTGAAAGTGGAACCCACACGGTTTTAGAGCAAACTCAGAGGAAAAGAAGATGAAGAGGGGTCAGATTGTAATGGAATGGAAATTGACAGGTCTTTTTTTTGGCCCAATCGATTGACTTGTTTTTTTTCCCCAAGTTTGTGTGGATTCTAGGGTCTTTTGGGTACCTCTCATTCCCCTCCTCATGGAAGAAGAAATCCAATTTCAAAGATTTGTAAGGTTTTTACTTTGAAATATGCACAAGGAGCAATGTGGTTCTTCAATTAATCAATTCAGAGATTCCATGGTCTTGTGAAAATGGTTGAATTGGTCCTCTGTCCACATGTTCACTATAGCCCAAATGCAAACAAGATAAAGTGATTCCTCTATAGGGTTAGAATTCATTCCCCCCCACCAAAGTTACAATAAAGTGGTTTAAACATGAGAAGCAAAAAATTAACCAAGAATGTTTGAATACTATGTTCAATAGTTTGGCAAAACCTTAGAAGAGAAAAGGGGGAAAAAGCAATATAAAACCACAACTTTGGAACATTCCTCTATTTGGTAGCCACAAGGTTAGTTCTTCGATGGAATATAAAATCTTGTATTACCTCCATTGTTGGTTGCATGCTTGAGAAATCAAGAGCAAAATGCACAACAAGAAAATATACTGGCTTTGGACGTCGTCGATTTGTTGTTCGAACGAATCCCTTATTGATACTTATCGCGTCTCCTGATTTCCATATTAGCTTTTATTCTTTTCATTTTTTTCCTTCTATTTATACACTTATCTATGTACTATTTTGATAGGTTAATTCGATTAGTTGTTGGTTTTATTTAATCAATTGTGAAAAACACAAACAAACAGTGGCCTTAGATTATATGTCTTCTTAAGTTTTGCGTTAACCATACATCTTCTAGTAGTTCTTGTTAGAGAGTGGTATAAGATCCAGCATAACCTTCTCCCAACAACTCGAGTTATTGGGAGCAACTGGTTCTAGTGGTATAAGATCCAGCATAACCTTCTCCCAACAACTCGAGTTATTGGGAGCAACTGGTTCTTGACATGGTATCAGAGCTGGTTTGGCCAAGTGGTCGCGTGTTCGAATCTCTTTGACCCCCAATATTAACAGTTTATTAAAGCACATGGTATGGTAGGCCTGTGCAAACTTCAAGCCCGTGGGTTGGCTTTCGTTTGAGGGGGCGTGTTAGAGAGTGGTATAAGATCCAGCATAACCTTCTCCCAACAACTCGGCCTACCATACCATGTGCTTGAAAAACAACGGTTAATATTGGGGGTCGTGGAGATTCGAACACATGACCTTTTGGTTCGAGGCTCTGATACCATGTCATGTCATGAACCAGTTGCTCCCAATAACTCGAGTTGTTGGGAGAGGTTCAATCGTGGATCATATACCACACACTAACACGCCCCCTCAAACGAAAGCCACACTCACAAGGGCTTGAAGTTTGCACAGGTCTGAAGACAAGAATACCATGTGCTTAACAAATGGGGGCAATCGGGAATCGAACACAAGACCTCTTGGTCACAGAAGGCTCTGATACCATGTCATGAACCAGTTGCTCCCAATAACTCGTGTTAGAGAGTGGTATAAGATCCAGCATAACCTTCTCCCAACAACTCGAGTTATTGGGAGCAATTGGTTCTTGACAGTTCTATGCCTGCCGCCACAGAAGAAAGAATAAAAATCAAACTGAATCACTAATATGAATATTATTCAACATAATTTGTTAATGAAAGACTGATGGAGATTAATTAAAACAAAGATGAAAAATGGATTAACAGTAATTAATCACGATTAGCTAGCTGTCTCCTTGACCGTCTGCATGTATTGCTGTGTTCCCCGTACAAGAATTAATGAGAAACCATGCGTAAGCACTCCCGGAATTCACGAATTCCCTTTTTCTTACTTCTTCTTTGAACAATATATTTAGCAACTAGTAATTAGTTAACAATTTGCAGTAGTGGGATTATTATCGAACGCACTTGAATTAGGAATTAGAGCTAATTGGTCATAATAAAATAATGATATTTTCCATTTCAAGACGGGTCCTTTAGGTAAGATTACGAGGCCCAAGCCCAATTATAGAATCGGCCCAGACTTCTTCTCGTTGTTGTCTGAGAACCATTGGCCTGAACGAAGTCTCCCAATTACGAAGACCAGAACGAGTCTTTCTCTTTCCCAATACTTCCATCTTTGGGAAATTGAAGTACGCAAATGTCTGAATACCATGTGTTTCATATTGGTGGATTGTTGGGATTCAACTTAAAACCTTTCGATTGTCGAAAACTATAATACTATGTCAAGAATCAGTTTGGTTCTAATAACTCGAGTTATTGTTCTGTTATAAATGGTGTACCGTTAACTAACAAAGAACATACATGTTTTACCAAATTACTCGAAATCTATTGCATCGATGCTCGATTGGTGCAAGATTCAGATAGTAAATCAAAACTATACTCGTTTTGCTGGTTATATTCATGGATATCTATGGATAATAGTTATTCATTTATATTATTTCATCTAATGTAATGTTTTACTATTTGTGTATATAATTACATTATACGAGTGGAAAGTTGCATTTATAAATTATAAGTCATAATTCTTAGTTAAGAGAAATAATAATAATAATAATAAAGAAGAAGAAGAATTCATATAGAGATAATGTTGTGGTTCATTACAAATGTGAATATTCCTAAAGAGTGATGATTTACAGGAAAATATATCTATGCATTTACAAGAAAATAGAGCCTGGAATAAGGAACCGCCGACCATATCCGAAAGTAGTTTGTTAAGGCGTGACTTGGGTTATGATCAAGTGGAATAATGACCTTTCGTTGTCGATATTTGGAGCTCGTGCAGTGCAACTGCAGACTGTGAGATCTCTTTTCTGTAATGTAATTAAGCTCTCACTATTCCCTTCTCGCCACCGACATGGAAGTGTCGTTATATATCGATAGAGAGAGAGAGAGCGTGATTAAGGGGAGAAAAAGTTTGGGTAGAAACATGGCTATCCCAAGTTCACAATAGTTTAATTTCGGATAATGAAGCTATGTGATTCTAAATGGAGATCTCAAGTTCAAATCGCAGAGTGAAAACTTTCGTTTTCTCTTGATTGGAAATCTTTCGAAAAGGTTTCGGTTCTAGAGCTTTAAAATCAAGTGAACCATGCATGCAAAGTTAAAACTTATTGAGCTTTTTTTTAGCAAAAGATAATCATATTGATTGATAGAAAGATCATAATAGATCACACCCTGAATCTAATCTAGGAATACATAATCAAAGATACGACACGACGTTTGAGACAAAGAAAGGGCATTCCGATCTACAAGATGGGTTTACCCTATTACTTATCTGACCTACAAATTGAACATGAAAATAACTATATAGTGCCAACATACGAATAACTTCCTCAATAATGACCCCAGCACGACTATCCCTCACATCCTTGGAGTTTCTCTTGTAAATAACCACCTTAACATCACCTTCAAATCGAGAACCCGAGTGAATCCACAGTTCTTACACCACTGAATAGCTTTCCAGAGGTCCATAGTCTCAACCAAAATAGGGTCGTCAATATCCTAAAAGGATATCCCTCTCGTTAGGACAACAATGGCTCCTTCATCTTTCCAAATCATCCCTCCCGCTGAATGTGAACTCACACACACCGCACCTTCCCACATACTGAAATGCATGGCAAACAACCCGCATCCGAACTATGTTGAGTAGGATGATATTGGCACATCAAATTAACAATTCGAAATTATTTTTCTTGAAAAATAATTCAATTCCTGATTTTTCATATACCTCATATGACCGCAATCAGGGTCATAATTTGATCCAGCCGAGTCAACCGAAAGAAGCATTTTTTTGAGAAAGAGGGGAAAATAATGTTGTGGCAGTCCTTGCCCGATATGCTCTAGGCCCGAGTGATCCCAGAGAGCTTTAGCGATTGGGTAATCGTTGTCCTTTGGTTGCAAAAAAAGATCTAAAATGTCCACTGGTTCTGGGTTTTAAAATCGAGTCAAACATGCATGAAAAACTATTGGGTCAAGCCCATCCATTTTGGTGGCCTGCGTGAAATTAGGCCGATGTTAAAGCCCAATTCGGCTGGGCTTCTAATTATAGCCGAATATTAAACCGGCCATTTATATCTTTTTTTTCTTTTACATCCCATCCCAAATCCCAACCCGCCTATGACACAGTTTGCATCTAGCTAGTTATTGGTGGGCCCAACCGTTGGAAAGGGCAAAGAATGCAACAAAGGGGCGTATTGTCAGGAACAAGTTGATGAGATATGAGGGGAGTATTGAAGTGATGGCAAAACCTTACATCCTCTTTTACTTCTCCTCTGGATAACTAGCTAGCTACTCTCACATCAAATGATCAGACTATAGTTTTCATTGGAAACAACTTTAGACATTTCCATGGCTAGGATATTCAATCCGGTCAGGGTTTCGGGGACTTCCTCCCAGGGCTATCTACGATTATTGAATCGAGTATAACACGTTCTATGCTCGTTGGAAGAAGCGATGATTATTTCGTGAAAAATTAGTGTTATCGCATGTATCATATGGTTATCGAGTGTCGAAGGGGTGGTCTACCTTAGGGGTTAGCACCCAGCTGGCCCGATTCTTGCTTCCACGGAGTTACTTCTTCTGGCCTCTTCCAAAACACTGGTTTACTCGGTTTTGAATACTGCTACTATTTGTAGTGACATTTTATAGCAACACGAGTCCGAGTTAAGTCTATCCAGATACAAGGGTTAATGCTTGAAATTTCGAAAACATTCATGAAGTTGATATAGATATAGTTTTGACAAATGGTTCACAAGCTGCATGATTATAGTAAGGGTGAAAATTATCAAGAGCCAACCACATAACTCGAATATTCTACATTCAGTGTGACAACATAATCGTATCTAATTGTTGCATATTTCTTATACGAAAACTTGTTGGCAAATGCAACGGATGGTTGTGCTTGAAAATTGTGAAGAAACGTATTCCTCCACTAAAATTTGTATCCATCCTAAGTTGGTATATTTCGCTATCGAGTTCTTAAATTCTCCCGTTACCAATTTCAATTCGAACTAGACCACGATGATCACATGCATGTGGACCCAACTGAAAGCCATGGTGAAGGTAAGAAAGATCAACAACCAGAAGTTCACTTGGACTTCTCCTCTCAAGGCAAAAGAGAGAGTGATGGGAGGGGACAATGTTACATGATAGTGCAATTGCTCACCAAATATGGGGTCTGAATTTCATTATCTACATTTCCAAAAACAAGTTTGGCTCGTACAATGGGGTTGCCAATTAAACAAGTGTTTCTTTCTGCCCTAAAGACAATTGTTCCCAAAGTTCCAACCCTTTTTGTTTGTGGGGTTAACACAAGCATTATATGCCCTCCCACCAAAAGGAAAATGGTCCCTATTCTTTTCATTTTAGGTTTTTTTAACCTTGTAAAAGAAGAGAAAGTGTGGTGCAGGCTTCTAGTTGTACAAGGCACTGCATATTTTCTCTGGAACCAATGCCCCATTTGTGGCTAAGGTAAGGGACCATGAAGCTCAAGAGAGAGAGAGAGTGCTTACAAGCTCTTACAGTACATCCATCACAGAGCAGCAGCAAAGCAAATGGCTAGTTGATAAGAAGAGTCACATTGCTCCAAAACTCCCTCCTGCAAAACATGCCCAAGTTGGGTGCTTCTTTTTGGCTCTCTCATAACCCACCATGGGTTTGCTTTGTTCTTACATGCATTGTACTTCTTGGACCAATGCCATCTCATGATGGTAGAGGAAGAGATAGAAGAAGTAAGGTCAATTGCATATTAAGAGGATCACTTCGATTCATAACCGAAGTCTAGAATAACTAATATAATAGTTATCCACTTCGTCTCTTGAAGATTTTCTGATAGAACAGTTAACATGTCAACTCAACCAAATTTTAACGATAATGATATGACCAAAGTATTTTCTGCTCATAGCCAATTCCAACCCAACTTTATGAAGAACACCCTTAGCAGCCCCCTTTTGTCCCCGACGATAACTATATATTGTCCACATTTTTTGTTTTTATCAAATTGGTTGAATTAACATGCTCATCTAGATATTTTGTACTAAAAAAAGTTGATTATAACAGGAGATGTGACCATTATATATCAATTTCACAATTTAGCATTCAAATTGTTAGTGAATACAAATTATAGCAGCTCTCAATGTAGATGGCCGATAAAAAAAACCCGGATTTAGACCAATGAAAATCTACCACATTGTGATTTCCATCTTGGATGGATAATACATGTTAGTACCATCAAACACTATAACTTTCCACAAATTAGGGATAAGACATGCATGAAACCCCCCCACTTCATCATCATTGTTTTTTCTTTTGATTTCCAACTTCCAAGTATAGGGGAAGGGGCAAACCTCATTAACCATATTTCCCAAATGGAGGGAGGCCCAGAAGAAGCTTTGAGTGGTAGAAGATACATATATAGTGGAGGTGGGTGATGATAGATAACCCTTCAAGTATGGCAAATTCTGAAAACCCAGACTTGATTTGTGTCCCTCTTTTTCTGTAAGGTAAGGTCATCACCATGATGAGTCTCCCAGCCCCCTCCTTTTCCTTCTTTTGTCACCAGACCATTCATCATTCGCTCTCTCTCTCTCTCTCTCTCTGCCCTTTGCACAGTGCTTTTTACAGGGAAAGCACAGATACAAAACTGCCTCAAGGGTAATCTCTCCCCAGGCCAGCTACAGTTGAATATATAAAAAAAAAGGACCTGCCAGTGCCATAGCCATGGCGATGGCCATTGTCCCTGCAAATGAGCTGTAACAGTACCACCAGGGCAGGCTGATCAAAAATATCAGCAGAACCCAAAAAAAAAAACCAGGCTGCCCTTTCTGCCATACATTCACCAAAGAGGTAAAATGACCAATGCCTCGTTCTCACCACTAGTAGCTTATAATTATTTACCACTAATGTTCTCTCCAAGCTTTGCACCAATCAAATAACGGTTCCTGCCTTCCTGGCACTATAGCAGAAGCAAAGAAATAAAGGCAAAGGGACAAAGGAGTTCTAGGTTATGGCTTTTTCTTTCATGCATCCTATATTATATTATAATAAATAATAACAATTAACAATAATGTTTGTACATATTGATACTCCCAAAAGGATCTTTCCAATTACAAAAGAAGCTTAACCTGAGGTCAACAACATATCATTGTAGTTAACCAAACTCCCTATTCTTCCATCATTAGCCATACGTACATATACTAAAATGAAAAGACACAAAGTCCCCACCTTTTCGTCTAGCCAAGTCATTCAATCAAAGTTCAAAACCAACACCATCATACCCATAATGGGTGGTCTCTCAACTCCGACCCCAAAAAATCAGACTAGAAAGCAAAAGAGAAAAAGGCCTAACCCCACCTTTTACCCTAACTATTCATTTCTTTCCATCCATTCCTTCCCCTACCTGTCCTTCCTTTTGCATTCATAGAACTATCTCGGTCTGCTGCAGAGTAGTAGGAGTGGTGGTAGTAGCTGCAGCAGCAGTAGTAGAAGTAGTAGCATTGAACCCCACCTGTTGTTGCTGTTGTGGTGGTTGCTGCTGCTGCTCAACTTCCCACTTCGCCTTGGCAATGACTCCATCTTTCACTGGAACGTACTCCTACTCGAAAAAAAGGAAACAGTGGTATCATCAACAAGGTAACAAAACAACTCCCACATGCTAATAAAATGGGAAAATATCAGAAAGGATGATTCATCACCAAGGTGGAAAATTGGTAAAGATCCTTTACGGAACCACCCATACTGTCTTTTCCATATATGTATGCATAATAATGTACATCATTCAATTTCCTCACCTCAAGCTTCTGAACAAGCTCCTTGGCATTAGGAGCTGAGACAAATATGTTCCTCTGGGATGGCTTGATGAAGCCATCATCCACAGCTTTGTCGATGAAGATCAGTAGGTTGTTGTAGTAGCCATCCACATTTAGTAAACCCACCTGCAGCCACAGGTTACCTTTCTTTGTTTAGATACAAAAAATACAAACAAAAAAAAAGGTTAATATGGGAAGAAACAAGGGAAAAGGTCAAATGCTTTACTGGCTTATCATGGATTCCAAGCTGAGCCCAAGTGATTACTTCCAGCAACTCTTCCAGGGTCCCATACCCACCTGATTACCATGATGCAAAAGAACAAAGGAGAACACCATTGATTACAAACGGAAACAAAAAGGAGGGGAATTTAGTGCATATAATAATCTGTTGAAGAGAACAGTGTGAAGGGGAGATATAATAATGGATGAGGGAAGACCTGGTAGGGCAATGAAGCAATCAGATTGGCGGGCCATTTCTGCTTTCCTTTGATGCATGTCGGCTACTGGCCTCACCTCACCAACTGTTTCACCAGTGATCTGTTTGGCTCCACCATTTTTGAATCAAAAAGAACAAAAAAAATCACAACTCCGAGCAAAAAATCACATGAAAAGGTTTCTTTTTTCCAGCTCGGAACCCAAATCCCAAACGAAAAAAATCTCACCTCCTTGCACATCAAGGTCCTGGGTATGATCCTGTTACAACACAAAACCACCACAGTCAGAAGGAAAAAAAAAATTCTCAGAGGCCAAACCACAAACACCTCATGAGCATAGACAAAAAAAAAAAAATCCATTACCCAAGAACGCTGCCGCCGCCGTGGTGCACAGCTCGAGACACCAGCCCCATCAGCCCAATACTCCCGCCGCCATAGACGAGATCCAACTTCCTCGCCACCTTCACCCATCAACCCAACCAAAAAAAAAAATCAGAATACTCTAAACACTAAATTACCAAAAATAGAAACGAAACCCAGAACGGAAACGAAGCTAAACCCATAAACCCTTTTTTTTAAAAAAAAAATTACCAGCTCCTGAGCAAGATCAATGGCGGCATCCTTGTAGCAGTTCCTGTTCCCACTACTGCTCCCGCAGAAAACACAGACCCTCTTGAACCGCGATTTCACCACCTCCCCACTGTCATCATTATTCCCATTGCTGTTACTCCCAACCGCCACCGCCGCCGCCGATTCTCCCATGTTCATTCTTTCCAAGGTGTGGGAAATCGTTTTTTCTATTCCTTCCCCTTATTATACCTCGTTTGGCAAACCGCGTGGTTGGATAGGAGTGAAAAGTGGAGGAGGAAGCAGTAGAATAGTGAGTGACACAGACTGCTTCAGCGAACGCTCTCTATTTATAGACTGGCCAAACAGGGCGCTACGGAAGAATACGAACGAATGAGAAGGAAGAGAGAAGGATAAGTTTGTTTATATGGCGACGGAGTGGAGTGGGGAGTAAGACAAAAGGGCAAGAGCAAGACAGAGAGAATGGGATGGGAGTGGTGGATCCCCGTCCGTCGATTTTTACACGTGGCGAGAGATGAGTGACGGAGATCATCGAGGTTTCGTGTTGCTGGCTGTGACTGTGAGGAAGAAAGAGACTGCCCACGTTTATTTATTTATATATTTATTAGTACCCGGTTCATAAAGAAAACAAAACAATTATAATAATATAAAAAATCTTGTGTGGTTGCCAAATGGTTGTTAAACCGGTAGGTTGCCGACCGGTATAATCGGGTTGAACCACAACTTATAAGACTGATTTTAGGATGCTAAATAAAATGATGCCGTTTTGATGAATTTAGTACAGACATCATCATCGTTACACACCATTCTTTCGGGTTGCTTGTTTTGCGCCTTGGTCAGGACTGTATTGCCTGTGAAATATCTCTCGTGGTTGAACCAATGCACACAAAAGGTCGTAGCAAGTTCCATACTCTTACTACAAAGCTGCAATTGATAAACATGTGGGTGGCGTCCTCCTCGCTTGAGGCACACAAAACACATCTGCTTGGGAGGCTCCAACCTCTCTTCTTTCAGGGAATCGTGAGCGAGTTTTTTCTTTGGATGTACGATCCCCATAAAAATGGGGATCTTAACACCTTGACCATATGTGAAATGTATCAACTCTTTATCTATATCAGTATCTATCTCTATCTATCGTCCTCTTTCAAACTAATAACTCGATAAGAACCGGTCGATCCGACGTTCATATTAACTCTTTCTCTAACCAAAACTCTCTCTACCATTATCATCCTCATTCAATTCCAACTCCAAGACCCATTTGGCTCCCTCATTGAAATTGCCATTATGATAACATGGTGTGGTTAGCATTCATTATCTTATTGCATTTTGCAAGATGGCAAAATCACCAAAAATGGAAGGCTGCTGAAAGGGGATTGTGAGATGGATCTCTATGCTCTTCCTTTCTTCATTTGGAAAAACGTATTTACAAACTTCGACAAGGCCTCTCTTGCTGCGGTTCGACCCCTAATGTCAATAGTCACCTTTAATTAAATTCTCAATTTTTTTCCTCAATAATTAAAGATCTTTCCTACTATGCTATATAATATTGATGCTTCAATGTACAACTTGAAGTTGTACCATAACATTAAATGTATAAGTTTAGGTTGTACCATAAAGGAATTTGTATTATTATGTTATGATACAACTTTACAACTTGAAATTGTACCATCACATAAGGTACAAGTTTAAGTTGTACCATAAAAGAATTTGTACAAAAAGTATAGGTACAATCTGAAGTTGTACCATAACGTTAAATGTACAATTTCAAATTATATCATAAAAAAAAAAAACATATAGCACCAATGCTATATAGCATTGTAAAATTCCACATAATTAAATTCTCGATTCAAAGATACCCAAATAGAGAAAGTTAGCCCAATTTCTTTGGAATCTTTTTTTTTTTTTTAATCGCTATGGTTGGGCCGCCCTACCTATTAACTGGGCCTAAGGCCTTTTCTGTCTGTCTCTTTTGTCTATACGCAACCCGCTCCTCGGGATTTAATAAGCTTAACAAACTATTTAATTAGCATGCTAAAATTTATTAGCTCGTGTCGGTACCATGCATGCGTCACATATGTATGAACACGTTTCTGATGATGAAAGAACAATATTTTTCATGCATTCAATTTTCTCCCATCAAAATATCACTCGCGAGTCGATCAATCATTGATAGAGTTGTATTTACTGAGAGATAACAATTTGTTGGGATAGATTTGGATTTCATGCATGGACTCTCAACTTGCTACCTCACTACTCCCCTTCTCGATTACTAACACAATAGATGCACATGAATTCACCATGACGATTAAGATCACCTCTTCGAGTACGAACTTAAGCATGCAGAGTAAATGCTCAACAATGAGGGTTGGATTCTTAGTTTAAAAAAGATTGTAATATTGACTGGCCATGTATGACAAATTTAATGTAATTTTGATGGTTATGAAATAAAGTTGTAAACATTAGTAATGAATAAAAAAAGAAGAAAAAATTATACATGAAGAAATATATTAGTAAACCGAATGATCAAACTTGACCATAATAGCACATCTTACTTCTAGCTAGTAACTTGACCATGGATCAGAATGTACAGTTCAATCGGATTGTCAGCTGTTGGTGAATGCTCTGAAACATAACCATTCTCGTTGGCTCTGGAGATGCGCTGCCTGGATTAACTCTATGGTCACTATTCTTAGGGCGAACCCTGCCATAAATGTCAAAGGAGTTCCAAGGGCTTTAAACGTCAGAGTTGATCGGGTTGCACGCTCGAAGGCTCGATCTACATTGCCAGAGGAGTGGATCAATATTCTTAATTTAATTTTTGATCTCTTGTAATTGTCCTCGCTCGTTTCGCTAGTTTTCTTTGGATGGTGAAATAAAAGTCGTTATTATTGTAAAAAAAAAGAACTTCTAGCTAGTGAGTAGTGACGCTTTGTTTGGGAAGAGGGGGAAGTAGAGGGGGGTGCAACAACTAGGGGGTAAATCCCTTCCCAATGATTTTGCACGCGTTTGGGAAAGTTTGGAACAGTAGGGGGGCAGAAATTTCTGGTGCAAAATCACTGTTTGGCTTAACCCCCCAAATTGGGGTGGAAGTGGAGAGAGAAAGCTTGAAAGCTTTTATCAATTTTTTGTTCCTGATTTTTTTTGGTTAAGAATCGTAAGACTGATTTTTTTCTCAAGCCAACGGAAAGACCCTCCGATTTATACCTCCGGCAAGAAACCCAATCCGCCGTCGTGATTGCCACCTCTAAAAAGAGTACCCTAGTCACCGGTTTTGATTTCCACCTCCGATAAGAATCCAAACCACCAAATCCATTAGATCTGAAAACTTAAAACATCAATCTTCCCCACGATTTCAGAAAAAAATCAAAAGAAGAAGACATGCAATGCAACAACCCTTCTTCCTCCAGCCAAGTAGTCGCCGTCTCTGTCTAATTGTGATCTCCGGCCCTGAGAAACGACGGCGACGTTGTGGGGAGATCGACGGCTACGCTCGAGATCGATCATCACTATTCCAATCTCCTTCCCCTGTTTTTCCTCCCGCCACCACCCTCTGCCCAACCACCGAAACCGACGCGAGATGAACGGACTGTGGCGGCGATTTCGTATCTCCTACTTGCCCAGCCACCGAGCTCTGCTTTCAGAACAACGACGATGATTTTCTCGTATGAAAATCCTGGGAAGAGATGCGGGGCCTTGGGCCTTCTCTGCTTTGAGAAAGGAAGGAACAAGAACGAAGAAGGAAAAGGGGAAAGAGCGGAGAAAAAAGCATAGAGAGAGAAAGGAAAGTGAATGACGGTGAGAGAAGGGAACTTGCCATCGTGCAAGAGAAGGAAAGGAAAAAAAAAAAAAAAGGTTTAAAAAAGTAATTAAATGAATTTTTAATATAATATAATATTTTATATATTTTTCTAATACAATTTGCACCCTCCTACTTTTTCTCCCAAACAACCATTTACGCCTCAATTTGCACCCTCCTTAAATTTGTACCCCTTCAACTTACCCCTCAATTTGCACCCTCTTTTAAATTTGCTCCCCCCTCGTTGCCAAACAGAGCGTGAGGGTTGCTGTATCAATAATGATTGCGCCGTCGCATCTCTCCCTCTCTTTCCACATTAAATCACGTTATTAATTGGCACCTAATGCTGCCGTCTTATCAGCAAAACCAAGTCTGAATTGTGATGGCTATCTCTATGACATGGCATGCTAGTAATCGCTAGTCTCTCGAGTCATGATACCAATGATCTTCAAAATTAAAGTTTTACATCTTTGGATGTTATATCGTCGTATTAAATTAATGTTACTAGTTAAAATTTAAAATTTGATGTCCAAAAGCTAATTTTAGAGTTGGACACATAGTGTACACTCATTTATATGAATGCGCACGGTTGGAGCCATTGTTGAAAGACAATTAATTATAGCTTTTTAAACTTTGTTTAGTTATTCTCCGAATTGTTAACAAGCTAAACGGATTATTCTTTCACAAGCTTCCCCCGTCTTGACTAATGCAACTATGTTCTTAGATGAAATGTTTCCAATGAACAACGGTGACTACTCTTGTTTGTACTATCTCTACGGACAACCATACTCAACAATGATGTATATGTCAACTGGTGCACTCCGTAATCCAAGTGCTATGACTGTTGGATGTATGCTTGTCGAACTTCGACAAATTAGAATCGTCAGATATTATTATTTCACATGCTTCCCCGATCTTGACTAATGCAACTATGTTCTTAAATGAAATGTGTCTAATGAACAACAATGACTACTCTTGTTTGTACTATCTCTACAAACTACGATTCTCAACAATGATGTAACTACTGGTGTACTCCTTGAGTACATCGTACTCCAACTGATAAGATTGCTGGGTGTATACATATTGAACTTTGACAAATCAGAATCGTTAATTATTATTATTATGTTAAAGTTAATCTTCAGGTTTGGTTTTAGATAATCAAAATCTGGAGTTTATCTATTTTAAATGCTAGAAACTCATGGTATAACATTATACTCGAACTTCGGTTAGATTGATGTAGATAGAAATATTTCAGCACAAATGACTCAAGTATCATATACTCGAGGCTCCAACCTTATACATATACCTAAAGCACTAGCTATTGTATTTTCATCCACACGAACAACAAAGAACATGAAAACATCCAACCTTCATCATGATCAAGATGATTGACTAGATCGATAAACCCACCATCACGTCATAACTTTAACTTTGATCTGAGTGATGATCCAGGAAAGTGGAAAGGAGGAAGAAGAAGAGTTGCATATCCCCATAAGCTGAAAAGGGAAAAGGAGCAGAAGCTAGTTAGTAATATCAGTGAAGAAGCTACATCACGTTGGAAGGTTGTGCCTTTTGCTTGCACGCTTGGCCGCATTTATCCTTTCCCACCAGCCAATGGAGGCCTGAACGGCCCATAATCCTGATTTAATCGGGATTTCCCAAGCCAATCGGTCAGAAACTTTTTCTTATTATGTGCTCAAAACGATTTCTTGGCAGGCTCTCTAATTAGGGTTAGAGAGAGCCTTTTTCGAGAAGGGAAGAAAAGCCTAGCCTATGCATGATGATATGATGAGATTTCAGAGATATGATGATCAGTCTGCAACTTCTCGTTATTAGCAAATGGGGTTTTTGGTGGTTAGAAGTTACACTATATCCTCTTTTGCATTGAAACACTTCTACATTGTCGTCTGAAGTTAATGGTTGTTTTACACAATATCGAAGTTGAAAGATGTCATAATTCAATTAGTACGAATAACTCGGAATGCTTTTTTTTTAAGTGACTCAAGATGTTGAAAGATGTCCATATATAGATATCAAATTTTTTTTTACATACTCACTCAAATGGAAAGTTAATTTACGAGTTTAAAATTGCGGTCTAAATATCATGTGTTTTAAGACGGTTTAATATCAGGAGTTGTGAGAATTTAGACACGTGATCTCAAGAACAAATAAGCTCTGATATTATGCATAAACCAACTGACCCCAATAACTCGAATATTCTGAATTAAAGAAAATCTCCGTAATGGGTCAAAACCAGCTCTCTCAATATTTGTAGAATTGTAGTCATACATGGAGAGAACTTTCCAAAAATCCATTAATTATTGATTCATCTACTTAAAAAGAACAAAACATGAAACCCAAAAACCCATAAGATGAACAAAAAATATAACTCTTCCTCCATTTTTATTAACCCAATATTCACAACTTTTTATTGGTTTAGCCTGACAAAAAAAAAAGAGGAGGAAAAGGCAACAATGTTATATTTCTATAAAATAACACGTTTTCTTATTTCTTTTTCTTCAGCTTCATTTCCAGGTGGAATCATCACAAGGCGAGCAAGGCTCCTGGGCTATATCAGTAATCTGAAGCCCAGTATCGTAAACCATCCCAGGCCTCCAATCACCTGGAAGAACGGCCTTCTGGGCCCAAACCAACTTCCCATCAAACCCACCCGTCACTGCGAACCTGAACTGCAGCGGACCCTCGGGGACGCGGCTAGTTTCCCAGACCGCCCCGTGGTTCCGGCTCAGGAAGGCCCATTTCGATGACCCGAATCGGGCCACATCGACCCCAACGATCTCGGTCTGACCGCCCTGGTACAGAACCTTGACCGCCAAGTAAACCGGCTTCCGGCTCGACTCCTCCACCCTCACCGCCAGGTTCTTGGCCCTAAACTCACATGGCACCCTGCAAACAAAAACGTGAAACCGTATCAAAGGTTATTATACCACGAATAATTGGTGTATAATATTTTGTACTAAAACCATAATTCAAACAATTTCTTATCTTTAAAACTACATACCATATTTTGTGTCCAGTATTCGGTATTTCCTATCCGATCGTTTTATACAGTAGGGTTCCGCAATGTTTCTTAAACATTGCGAGAACAATGAAGTCAGAATTTTAATTTGACCGTTGGTGGGCATTTAATGGTGGTTTCTGGCTCGAGCCTGTTTCCTGTCTGCTATAATATCATACAGAAAATAGTCCTCAAATTACACAGAACCATTGTCGGTGGACCTGATTTGCATATTATGATATGTTAATTTGTGTTTATATATACCTTTTGTATCCGACATCGGCGGTCCCGAGTTTGAGAACGTCGGAGGCTTTGCCATCGCTGGCCATGGCCATGAAAGCTCTGCTGCTGAGGACGAAATCGGTGCTGTTGCTGAGGTCGGTCACCATGACTGTGGTTCCCCTGCTGCTGCAGAGCCCTGGGTTCTTGCATCGAATCTGTTGCAGAAAGGAACCCCAAAACGTTTCAGGCTACTTAATAGTTAATACGCAAAGAAGGAAGTTTTTTTTTTTTGAGTTTGGGGTGAGTAAGAGAATAGAGAAATTATACCTGGAAACAAGCGCCGCAGCCAGCTCCATTTCTGTAGATAGAAGGAGCAGCAGCTGCGAGTTGTCCTGTGTTGAACCCGATCGCCATGGATCCATACCCGCAAGCACCATCTGCGGGAAAACAAAAGAAAAGATTACTACCCATCATTAATCTCTGCAAGAATTCATCTGGGTCGTATCCAAAACTTCATTTTGATGAATGAAAAGGGGATTAAAGGATTGAGAAGAAGCGAAGGAGAAAAACAGGGGAGGGAGTAAGCATAAAAACAGGGGATTCATTCACTTGAAAGTGCAGATGCTTTGGAGAAGTAGGCGACTTTGGTCGAGTGGAGGCAGCGGTCGCAGGCGGTTGCGGAAGAGACAAGCGAGATCAGTAGAAGGGGGACTAATGACAATGGCGACGGCATGTTTGGTTTTCTGTTTTCTTGCTGTGGGAGAATAATTTTCTAAGGCAATAGAGAAGAACTGAAGAAGTCAAGTTGTGATGAGGGAAATGGATGGCAGAGGAATTTGGTTTATATAGAGAAGAAGGTTATAACACGTAAGGTAAGGGAATGCGTTGGAGAGAGAGAGAGAGAGAGAGAGAGAGAGAGAGAGAGGTTAAGCATAGATTTCAGCAAGCAAAAGAACAATCACTTTGTTAATTGTAACAGTTGATCTTCGCAAGTTCAAATTAAAAATCTTACATTAGCATTTTCTATTGGTCTTGTAAGGTAAAGCACCTTCACTGAAAGTTAAATCCTCACGGATTCATCATAGTAGTATCCAAGAGTTGCTCGATTTGTAAGCATAAATTTTAATTTGTGTCATGGAATAAATAACAATAATTTATAGATTAAGCTTACGCCATCAAGAAAGAATTTTCATTTCACTCGGTCAATTTTACAATCAATAATCCTTTCCATTATCACGAGAGTAAGAAAGGATACTCCTTTTTTTTTTTGTTATAGATTGTTTCATTGGTTAGCTGCCTTATCAGCTACAAAACAACGACTAATCAATCGATGGACTCTATCCAATATAACTGAAGATATTTACCAGATCCCAACATTATCCAAAGAGAATTCAAATGAGAAGAATTCAATTTCATAGATTATGTTTAATTGTTTATCCCACAAGCATATACCCAATTTATGCATATATATTTGTATACAACCCCATCCATCATCCCTGTGATGGGAGGATACTCGGGAAAAAAAAATCAAATTTACAAAGTCGTTTCATTGATGAGTTAACAAATCGATCAGAACCCATTACCAATCTGTCAATCCACCATCAAATCTATCAATCTTACTCGACAAATCCAATTTAACAAAAAAAAAAAAATACATGTATCAATTTCTAATACCCGAACAAGTTTACCTACCTCATTAACTTACACTAATCGTATCACACATTGTAGTTACCATAACTGAATAACGAAAGTTAATCGGGACAAGAATGTGGCAGAAACGCGGCGGATAGGATGTAAAGAAGAAAGGAGGAAAGTGGTGGTGGGGAGAGGAGAGGAGATATATTATTACCCAACAGTCTTCAACAGTAGCACTTTCACCGACTCTGTTTTTCTCGAGTTATGAGAGCAGACAATTGCAGGAAGCAGAGAACCACCAGGCTGGCCATATATGATTCCAACACGCGTAAATTAGTCGGCACTTACACTCACTCCCACTTTTACCAGTAGTAGTTTATTGTTCTTGGGGTGACTAAGTCGGTAAGCTTTTAATATTAGTTTTTGGGGGCACTAGGATTTGTGGATTGTACCGTTTTTTTTTTGTTTTTTCAGTCTTACCAAGGTGAGATTTAGATTTGTTCTCGGTACTTACAAACGCCATCATTCGAGCTACAACAACCTTTTTACCAGATGAATTGGTGATGTTACATTGTGGTTTTTGGCTTGGTGATTTTGTTATGTAATTGTTGGCGATTTACTGGTACCACCGTTGCTATCTCCTTGATGACGATGACTGTTGCTAAATCTGGATTCTGATAAAAAGAACTTGCTAATCTGGAGGTCTGATATGGTAGTAGAAGTTATTGCGAGATAGTGACTTAGTAGAGATATGTTCACGAATTTGAAACCATTATACGTTTTGCCGGTTTATTGTAGTTTCATTCTAACAATTTAACTTGTCTGGCCTGGTGGTCCGATCCGATTGTTATAACAAGAGTGGAAAAAATCACGATTTGCAAAAGCACACTGAAAAACGTACCAAAAAAATTAGCGAGATATATATGACATTTTAGTTGTAAACTCGTGGTTCAATCAATCGCGTAGTACCAGACTGCTAGTGTAATATTGTTGCTAAAAATAAAATAAACTAAGATATTCAAACTAGCATTATCTTCGGATAATAACACCAAAATCGTCCAACATTTTCAGAAATTGCCAAAATAGTTGAATTAAACCGGCTGATGGCATATTATTAATATTTATGTACCAATAGTCCAATACCATAGTCCATACTCAATTTTTACGATCATACCGGCAATAAGGTATGATGGGTAAATGCGTTAGCAATCCTTGGGGGTAAAAACAGAGTAAAGCCCAATAGGCCCAAATGCCTTAAATTTGATCTTTTGAAACGGGCCAGAGTTGGAGCGGAACTATCAAATCAGGTCCACATATAAATACAAAAATTTCAAAAGGCGATCGTTCCACGAAAGGGCGAAAATCGAGCTTTCTAGGGTTTCCAAATCCAAATCTCTAGAAGGAGTACCCACCACCATCGCGCGTTTGGCCGGATCCTTCCATCCACCGGCCGTCGATCGATCGATCCCATTCCCCATGGCTTCCTCCGATGTTGACGAAAAGTATCCTCCGCTGACGTACTACCCCGACAGATACTGCGAGACCTGCCGGAGACTCGACAAGACGGAGATGAAACCACAGCCCGACGACCAAGAGTATGTGTTTGATTACGAAACTTTCCGCGACGACGAAACCCTAAGGCTACATGTCATCAACTACAGAAGGACCCAGTATGTGAGGAGTGTAAGTTTTCTTTTCTGTTTCTTGAGATTTTGATTTCCCCTGATTTTGGTTAATTGAATCGCTCGAAATTCGCGCAGTATTTCGACATTGATTGCCCTCCAAATTACGGCGGCGTAGGTGGGCAGCCACACCCCGGAAAGCATTATGCGAACGACGATAGATTTCAAGAGACGGTTCAGGAATGTGCTAGGTTCGGGGTGCAGAAATGTAACGAAGCAAACAAGGTAACAAGAAGAAAAAACAGAGTGATACAAAACCCCTGTCTTTGAAATGAACGGTTTTGGGGAAGAAAAAAAAATGTGTTTCTTTTTTTTGGGAATGCAGGGGAAGGGGATTGATTTGGAGTTGGTGGAGGTTGAGAATGTTACTGCTGAAGGTTGTGGTTGGATGAGATTCTACATGACTCTCGCCTGCCGCTGCAATCGGGTTCATGGCAGCAAGCGGAAATGGATCTCTGAAGAAGCAGCTGGTAATTGGGATACCAGTGATGATGAATGTGTGATCCAGAGCTACAAAGTTGTGGTTTCCTGTTGCTACTGGAAAAGGGAGCCGAGGAAGATGCTGCTCTTCAAGGACCCAAATGGGAATCGTACGTATTTACTACTTCTGTCAAAGTTGGTATAGCATATTTGCAATAGTAGTAACAATGTTGTCAATTTTTCTTCTACTGAAAGATGCCACTCCTCCCTCTTTATAGATTTGTGGGAGCCGGCGGATCCGTTTTGCGACCGAGTCAGCCAGCCATATTACGGCGACGAAGTTGCTCTAGCTGGTGATGGTTCGTTGATGGTAGTCCGATCTTCGGAGAATAAAGCTCAGGAATAGGAGGAAGATCAAGTAGTATACCTAGTAGTGGTAGTATTTTAATTATGTTTATTGTGTGTGGAACCTTTTTAAGTACGTATTGTTTATGGCATTGCATTTTATCATGGTGGAATAAAGTGGACACCTAAAAAAATGATCTTTATTCTTTCATGTTGGTAGTTTTCTCCATCATCCTTGTCCCTTTGTAGTAGTGCCGGGGCAATGAGGCCAAAATCACGATTCTAAGTAGATCAGTATTTTGACGGTCGCCTAAAAGGGTTGGAGGACTTTTGTCGTACTTTAATTAAACAAATTTTGTTTGCCTTGTGAAAGACTTTCTTGTATTGGAAAACCACCATTCCACTAACCTCGTCTTGAACGGATCCTTTAATCTTGTTAAAAAAGTTCCATCAGATTCAAAGTAGTAATTAGGATGACAGTGAGTAGGAGACGGTGTGAGGAGGTTGGAAAGAAAAAGAAGAATTAAAAAAAAAAATAGTATAATATTAGGCTAGTGATCTCGGTTCACGTTATGACGTATTTTTTCATTTTTTTTTGTTATTTTGTTAAAAATAGTGTAGTGAACTAGTCGAGTCGTGGTGGTTTATCCGGCCTCATGTTTAACTGTCAAAACATTTTTTTGTCTATTATTAAGCATACAAGTAAACATATTGATAAACTATTGTAACTGGTTGATGGTTCTACTGGTCCACCCGGATGGTCTGATCAGATTCTTGTAACAAGAGAAAAAAACTTGGTTTGTAAACTCATGCCAGAAGTTCTACGATTCAAATTATTAGGGTAAATATCAATTTTTAGGATTTGAGTGGGGTTGGGTTTGGTTCACGGGTCGGGTTAATGGGTTGGGTTTGGCATATGACATGGCGGGTCGGGTTTCACCATTTTCGGCCCAAAATGATGCTGACTAAGCGATTCCGTTAGCCATGTCAGCACATAACGGACTCCATTAACGGAGTTGGACGGAGACCATCTGAGACTGAGAGTGACTAAATGTGGATTGTTTCAGTAACTCAAGTGACCAAAAATTATATTAATTTTTTTCAGTGACTAAACATGACACTTTTTAGTAAAATCAATGACCAAACTTGATATTTACCCCAAATTATTATTATGGCATTGTTAGTGGTACAGCTGTGGTTCAATCAATGTGATCATTTCGACCATTACGTACACATTTTTTTTTGTTACATTTTAAACGTTTGTAACCTTTTTCGTTACTGGCCCGGTCGTAAGTGATTCCACCATTACGTATCCAACCTCTAGAAAAGAGAGCAAAGCCCAATGGGCCGGTTGATCTTTTGAAACGACCCAAAGCTGGAACGAAACTAGCCCCATAAAATTTTTTTCCGTTCCATCTTTGGGCCGTTTCAAAAGATCGACTTCCGGCCCATTAGACTTTGCTCTCTTTTTAAGAGGTTGGGTACGATAATGGTCAAATCACATATGTTTGGACCCGTAACGAAAAATTGCACAAACGTTTAAAAATTATAAGTGGCCAGTTACGTTCGAGCTTTCTAGGGTTTCCAAATCCAAATCCCTAGAAGGAGTACCCACCACCATCGCGCGTTTCGCCGGATCCTTCCATCCACCGGCCGTCGATCGATCGATCCCATTCTCCATGGCTTCCTCCGATGTTGACGAAAAGTATCCTCCGCTGACATACTACCCCGACAGATACTGCGAAACCTGCCGGAGACTCGACAAGACGGAGATGAAACCAAAGCCCGACGACGAAGCGTATCTATTTGATGACGAAACTTTCTGCGACGAAACCCTAAGGCTGCATGTCATCAACTACAGGAGGACCCAGTATACGAGGAGTGTAAGTTTTTTTCTTTTTTTTTTTCTGAGATTTTGATTCCCCGAGGCAAGCTGCTGATATGGTCTATTTGAATCAATCCAGTCAAAATCTCGATTTTATTGTAGAAGCATTTTGGTGACCGAAAAAGTGTAAAAAAAGTTAGCTTCAAAGCGTCGATTTGATTCTACGCGCAGAAGCGTTTTGGTCAATTTTTTTACTACATTGATCTAGATGAATTTTTTTCCCATCGCGTTCCAAATCGTTAATTGATCGCGCATGAATGCACGCACGCAGTATTTCGATATTGATTGCCCTCCAAATTATGGCGGCATAGGTGGGCAACCACACCCTGGAAAGCATTATGCGAACAACGACTATTTTCAAGAGACGGTTGATCAATGTGCTAGGTTCGCTGTCCAGACATGTAATGAAGCAAACCAGGTATGAATATACGATGATGAAGATGTGACACAGCAACAAACAGAGTAAACAAAATCGAAAAATGAAACGATTTTGAACAACTGGGGGTTCGTTATTCGTTAACGAATCGATGAGACTGATCAGCGTGTGTTTGTTTTTTTGGGAGCGAATATTATTGCAGGCGAAGGGGATTGATTTGGAGTTGGTGAAGGTTGAGAATGTGACTGCTGAAGGTCCTAATTGGAAGAGATTTTACATGACTCTCGCCTGCCGCAATCGGGTTCACGGCAAGCGGAAATGGGATACTAGTGATGACTGTGTGACGCAGAGCTACAAAGTTGTGGTTTCCTGTTGCTACTGGAAAAGGGAGCTGAAAAAGATGCTGCTCTTCAAGGACCCAAATGGGAAACGTAAGAATATGTATATCCACTACTTTGTGTCAAAGTTGGTAGCATATTTGCAGTGTTGTCAATTTGTGTTTTTTTTCTTTTTTTAATGAAAGATGCCACTCCGCCTTCTTTATAGATTTGTGGGAGCCGGCGGACCGGTTTTGCGACCAAGTCAGCGAGCCATATTACGGCGACAAAGTTGCTCTAGCTGATGATGGTTCACTGATTGTAGTCCGATCTTCGGAGAATAAAGCTCAGGATTAGGAGGAAGATCAAGAACCTAGTAGTGGTAGTAGTTTAATATGTTCATTGTGTGTGGAACCTTTAAGTATGTAGTATGTTTGTTTATGTCATGGCATTTTATCCTTTTTAGGATAAAGTGGGCACCTAAAAATTTATCGGGTTAATTGCATGGTTGGTCAGTACTGAGATTACAAAAAACTTTCATGTTTGGTCACTGGAAATATTTAAATCCAATTTTGGTCACTAAAATTAGTAAAATGGTTCAAGTTTGGTCACTCTCCGTCCATCTCCGTTAACTCTAGCTTACGTGGCTGTCAACTTTCATAGTTGACCGTTAAATATGCGACGTGACAACTAAAAAATTATTTAAAAAATAAAAATATTTTTTTATATTTTCCACCTCATTATTACATAATTTCAGTTCGAGGTTTGGTAGAATTCGGAGATCCGATATACATAATTTTGGTTCGGTCGAAACCGAACTGACTGAATACCCACCCCTAATTAAGAGAAAGCTGGGGACAGTACAACTAAGAAATCCTAATTCAGTAGGCGACGTTCTGGTGCCATGATTCAATGATGGCAAAAAAAGAAGAAGAAAGAAAAGGTGTGTTCTATAGAGGAAAAGAAAAGAAGAGACAAGACAAGTCATTGTATAAGAGACTCGACAAGACGGAGATGAAACCACAGGCCGACGACCAAGAGTATGTGTTTGATTACGAAACTTTCTGTGACGACGAAACCCTAAGGCTACATGTCATCAACTACCGGAGGAACCAGTATGTGAGGAGTGTAAGTTTTTTTTTTTTTTTTCTGAGATTTTGATTCCCCAGGCAAGCTGCTGATATTGTCTTTCTCACATTCTGATTTAGTTGCCCTCAGGAAAAGGATGCTGTCATCAGCAAATAAGAGGTGAGAAATCTGTGGTGCTTGCCTCTTCACCCTTATCCCTTCAATCTGCCTTTCCCTTTCTACTTTAGTTATTAGAGCTGATAGCCCCTCCACCACAAGCAGAAAAAGATAGGGGGATATTGGATCTCCCTGTCTTAACCCCCTACTAGGATAGAAACACTCTATCTGGTGCCCATTCACCAAAGTACAGAAAAAAACTGTCGTCACACAAGTCATGATCATTTGAACCCATCTTTGATGAAAACCGAATTTCAACATGATTGCCTCCAAAAAATTCCATTCAACCCTGTCATAGACTTTAGTAATATCCAACTTAACCGCCATGAATCCTTTATTACCAGACTTTTTGTTATTCATAGAGTGAAAACACTCAAAGGCTATTATGACATTATCTGTAATGAGCCTCCCTGGGACAAATGCACTTTGGTTTGGCACTATCACCTGGTTTAGCACCCCTTTGAGCCTATTAGCCAGAACCTTGGATAGAATTTTGTATAGAACTTTGCAGAGGCTAATAGGATAAAAGTCCACCGGGGTTTGGGGGTGTTTCTTCTTTGGAATGAGTGCTATCAGGATATGGTTCAGTTCCTGTGGGAAACTTCCCTCTTCCAGATAACCCTGTAGCTCAGTAGTGATTACCTCTCCTTATACATCCCAATTCTTCTGAAAAAAAGGGCATGCATACCATCAGCTCCAGGAGCTTTTAGCGGTCCCATAACCTTTAATGCCTCCCAGATTTCCTCTCTTGTAAAAGGTTTTAGTAACTCGTCATTCATAGCAGCTGTAACCTTTGTGGGACTGCTTCTATCACTGAACTGGATCCAGATCTCCTGTAAGAAGTGTATAACTTCTTATAGAAGTTAACAATACATCTCGCTATGTCCTCCTGATCTGTATAGATGAACACATTCACCATTGTCCCCTTTCATTATCTTTTGGCGAGCATCTCTGCCTCCTTTTCATTCGTCAGTTGTGGGTAATAGTGTCATCTTCAATTTCCTTGACCTTTTTTAGTTCGGAGCCCCACGATTGTAGTCCTGTCCACCATCCAGTAATCTCATCCTTGTGATTCACTATGATGGGTCGCCTTTGAACTATCTCCAGGTGGCGGTTTGTTACACTTTCCAATAGCCATGGTCTTGACTGTGTTGGGAGAGTTAATACCCCGCTATAGTCTCTATTGGTTGGGAGAAGCAAGAGGTGTTCTGTCTTCACTCTGTTTGGCACTTGTAATGGTTCTTTGAATTTATTGTTGGCTTTTTATCCTTCTTGCTCGTTCCTATGGCTTTTCCTTCAACACGGATTGTTCTTCCTTGTTACAAAGTTTTCATATTCTTTTGGTTCCAGCTTTCATGGTGTAATAGACCTCTTGTAACCGTGATTTTCAGAGTGCAATATAAGTGTTTCACCTTTTAAAAAATGATGCAAGTAATTTGTTTTATGGAATTCAATTTAGTTATTACGAGACTGTTGGTAACCGACAACATAAGGTTGGTAAGAGACAACATAAAGCTAATAATAAGGAAATTGATATTGAAAAGAGGAAGGAGAAAAATTTAGCAACAAGGTTTGATTGGTCCACCAAGGTGGTCCGATCAATTCTTATATCAATGGGGAAAAATCATGTTCATAAACCGTACAGAAAGTTGTGTTGGACAAATTAGTACTATGATATTTTAGTGGTGCAATCATTGTTCAACCAATAATTTACCGGCCTATATCATTGCTCAAATAAAACAATATATAAATATAATATATTCAACGAGCTTTTATATAGGTGATATATGTATTCAAGCCCGGCCATGAGCTTGTGCTTAGGGCCTCAACAAAATTGGGGCCTCCAATGAAAGTGATAAATCTTGGACCAGTTTAGGATAAACGGTTTGTCATGGGTCTCCTTTAGAATAGTAGAACACATAATTGTTGTAATATAAGCCCATTAGATAATTACCAACACTTTGGCCCCAAGTTCATGTCATGTCAGATTATTATTCGTTGTTTACCATTTCAGCTTAATAATTACTAATTAGCTGTACATATCACACTCACATTAACGATAAAAAAGAATAGTTAAATCAAATTCATAAGTATATAATATTTTCCCTAACCACACTACCCAAATTCACAATTAATAGACAATTTTTTTTTTGAGTTACTATGAGGGTACTTTTGTTTCGTTTTTTTTATTCACTCTCTCTATTATTCAATTTTTAATTTTGTCATCTTATTTCAACTACCATCACATCATTTCATCAATAATCATCATTCAATGAATAATGCTCACAAACAATTGTCATTAATCGTCTACTTTCATCTTCAAGCGCCAATTATATTTGTGAAGTTTATTATCCTAATTTTCTTTTTCTACTAATTATTTCACCTATGAAATTTGAATAAGGAAGCTTTAAGCGCAATGTTATGTTCTTACTTTAGTAATCAATATTAGATATATAAAACATTATCATATTTTTATAAAATAATTTTAGGCATATAAACCATTATCAAATTTAAATTAGTAATCATTTTTCTCTGTCATTCTATTTAAATCATTATCACTCTTTTTTAAAATAACATTACATATATTGGTTTCAAATAATATACAAATAACTTTTATTTATTTATCATATCTTTTAAAACAAGTGGGCCTGTATGTATTACGATCAAAATCGGTTAATAACGCCGAACTCGCTTACTCGATCGGTCCAACGAGGTAAACCGGTTGACAACCTTTGCCCAAGTCGATATTTTGAAACGGCCCATAGGCCAATTAGGTCCGGTCCACATATAAATTCAAAAATATCGAAGCAGTCGTTCCATTCCATCCCTTTCTTTTCTTTTCGAGGGTTTCCCAAAAGGCGAAAATCGAAAAACCCTAGAAGGAGTACCCACCCACCACCATCGCTCGTTTGGCTGGATCCTTCCATCCACCGGCCGGCCGTCCATCGATCGATTGATCCCGATGGCTTCCTCCGATGTTGATGAAAAGTATCCTCCGCTGACGTACTACTCCGACAGATACTGCGAGACCTGCCGGAGACTCGACAAGACGGAGATGAAACCAAAGCCCGACGACGAAGCGTATCTATTTGATGACGAAACTTTCTACGACGAAACCCTAAGGCTACATGTCATCAACTACCGGAGGAACCAGTATACGAGGAGTGTAAGTTTTTTTTTTTGTTTCTGAGATTTTGATTCCCCAGGCAAGCTGCTGATATTGTCTATCTAGATCAATGCAGTCAAAATTCGGATATTATGTAGAAGCATTTTGGTGACGGAAAAGTTTAAAAAAGTTAGCTTTTCAGCTTCAAAGCGTTGATTTGATTCTACTCGCAGAAGCGTTTTGGTCATCTACAAGTTTATAAGTATTAAGTTTTTAAGTTTTAAATCCAGATTTTTTACTACATTGATCTAGATGATTTTTTATTACTTTCCAAATCGTTAATTGATCACATGAATGCACGCAGTATTTTGATATTGATTGCCCTCCAAATTATGGCGGCGTTGGTGGGCAACCACACCCTGGAAAGCATTATGCGAACGACGAAAAATTTCGAAAGACGGTTCAGGAATGTGCTAGGTTCGGGGTGGACATGTGTAACAAAGAAACCAAGGTATGAATATGATGATGACACAGCAACAAACAGAGTAACAAAACCCCTGCCATCGAAAAATGAACGATTTTGAACAGATAGGTTCTTTGATAATGAGACGATCGAGTGTGTGTTTGTTTGCGAATGCAGGTGAAGGGGATTGATTTGGAGTTTGTGGAGGTTCAGAATGTTACTGCTGAAGGTCCGCATTGGAGGAGATTTTACATGACTCTCGCCTGCCGCAATCGGGTTAATGGTAAGCGGAAAGGGATCTCTGAAGCTGGTGGGGATACTAGTGATGACTGTGTGATTCAGAGCTACAAAGTTGTGGTTTCCTGTTGCTATTGGAAAACGGAGTTGAAAAAGATGCTGCTCTTCAAGGACCCAAATGGGAAACGTACGTATATCCACTACTTCTGTCATTTGCATCATATACAGTATGATCTTTATTGCTACCGCGTATGTGTTGATCGGCTCAATACTCAAAAGTCCGTTTGTGTTGAATGCTATGTCTAACTGTAGTTGGTTTTGCAACTTGGTCGATTGACATGCACTTCGTTCACGACTATTCTCTGTGTAAGTTGGTACTTGAAACTTAGACCCATGCATATATAGGGATAGTGTAAATGAAATGGATAGTATTTTCTGTAAGATCTGTAGTAAGTGGTCTTTCTCATCATTTATGTGTGTGTTGTGCATTTCGTGTGTCGGAATTGTCAATAAGAAGTATCATTCATCTGAATAAATAAGGTAAGTGGTCTTTGTCATCCTTCATGTGATTTGAACTTGATGTCCATGTTCCTGTACTTTTACACCTCTGATCTTTTGTTTTGTTTGTTTGTTTGGCTAATATATGCTCATGGTTGGTTTTGTATACATGGAAATAGTGTTAACAATGTTGTCAATTTGTTTTTTAATAAAAGTTGCCTATCCCTCTTTATAGATTTGTGGGAGCCGGCGGATCCGTTTTGCGACCGAGTCAGCGAGCCATATTATGGGGACGAAGTTGCTCTAGCTGGTGATGGTTCATTGATGGTAGTCCGATCTTCGGAGAATAAAGCTCAGAGATAGGAGGAAGATCAAGTACCTAGTAGTGGTAGTAGTTTAATGTAAGACACAATGGTCTAGACGTGTACGTTTAGTGTTCGTGTATTGAGGATTTGATATAGAGAATTGGGAATTGAGGTAGAGAATAGGGATTTGGAAGAAGCAGCTTGGGAAAGAAGGAAGAAATCGGGTCTCCATAGAAGGAGAAGGCCGACCGTAGCTGGAGAAAAGAGAGAGAGATTGATAGGAAGAGAGAGGGGTTGAGGTTTAGGAAATAATTGATCTGTTATTACTTAGTGAGAATGATCCTACTAATACAGAATATATAAACCGATGAATTTTCTATAACTATTCAAATTAATACCCTAACAAATTACTCCCAAAATGACAACCAAATATCCGAATATAATCATAAAACTACAAATAAGTTCAAAACAGTAATCGAGTTAGAGACCATGTTTCTAACGTTTAATATGTTTATGGCATGGCATTTTTATCCTGTTGGGATCAAGTGGACACTAAAAATTATTTTCATGTTGGTAGTCTTCACCATCATCCTTGCCCCCCTCCCAACTGGTCGCTTAAAAGGGATGGTAGTAGTGCCGGGGAATACAGTCAACTCAGGATTCTATATAAAAGCGTTTTGGTCGTCTAAAAGGGCTGAAGGACTTGTAGTCTAGCTATGTGTATTGCTAAAACAGTTGGTTGTAGTATTAGTGGGTCGTTGTTGTTGCGCGTAACTATGTTTATTGTATGCAGAACCTTGAACTAGAGAGAATGTTAGCTATGTTAATGGATTGACATTCTTATATATCCTGCAAGTATGAATGACAATTAACCTCTCCCTTGTTGGTATGGCATGTATAGCAATATTCCTGAGATTCAGAAGTTGAAGGTGATGTTTTAGGACTAAATTAGGAGTAGGATAAGTTACTTGCCATTGGTACACATCGACCCTTTGGATTTATAAAGCCTTGGTGGGAGATATCTAGTTTAATATGTTTATTATCGTTTCCTACCTGTATGATGAGCCCTGGATAGGGTCTCTTTTGATCAGAGTGGAGCAGCCTTCTCAATTCAACCAATTGAATCAAGCTCGAACAAGGACACACACACAAAACAGGGTAGGGTTTATGTGTTTGGGATGGAACTTCCGTGCAACTTTCTCAGGGGGAAAGAGGCTCGATAAGTATAATTTGATGCTTGGCCACGATCAAGGTGTGTAATTGATCGATACAGCCCATAAACAACCTAGAATCCACTAAGTTGCTCAATCAAATTCACGAAGCAAGATGCTTGATGAACCAAACTCGGGTTTTGTATCCAATTGATCAAAGATTGCCTTACAAAGTACTGGAAAAGGGTTTAAATAGACCTAGCTACGTTTACAAACCAAAAGGAACTCCTAATTAACATTGAACACGAAAACAAAAACACACAAATCAAAAAAGGAGTAGTAATCCTAATCCGAGAAGGATTCGGAATTCTTGGGTTCAGTCTTCCAATCGTAGCTCCATACGATCTTGCACCAATCCATTCGAAGCCTTCGAGGTAAGTGTTAGTTCATCCAATACCTTGAGATTGTAGAAGAAAACGAGTAGTTTTATATGGCACAATCCTCTTAGCCTCAACTCTCAATCCTCCATCTCGAATAAGCTTTCAAAGTTGGGTATCCGAACTGGTTCCCATATTTTGTAAGGAAGTGGTTAAGCACCATACACAGGCCTGTATAAGATCTAGCATAATCTTCTCCCAACAACTCGAGTTATTGGGACCAACTGGTTTATGACATGGTATCAGAGCTAGTTTGTCCTTGAGGTCACGTGTTCAAATTCTCACGACCTCCAATATTAATCGTTGTCTTTCAAGCACATGGTATGGCGGGCCTGTGCAAACTTCAAGCCCATGAGTCGGCTTTCATTTGAGGGGGCGTGTAAGGAAGTGGTTAAGCACCATACACGGGTCTGTATAAGATCCAGCATAACCTTCTCCCAACAACTCAAGTTATTGGGACCAACTGGTTTATGACATATTTAGCCAAAATAAGACAGTTTTCCGGTTTTGACGTAGTAACTTGAGGGCTTTGGAAAATGATCTCAACGACTTGTTCTTGATCCATCAAGCCTTCACTCATGTAGACTGTAGAGCAACACTTGGACTTCACTTCCAATCCTTCTTCTTTCATTTTCTTCGAACCATTTGTGAGAACCAACCTTGCAAAGTAGGTACCCTGAAACAGAATAAACACTTAGCCAATTTTTGGTTCCTTTCTTGCTAGCTTGGGTTGCTTCTTTATCAAGCAATTGGAACTTGTTTAATGACCTATTTGGGTTCATATCACTGTAACCCTAAAATAAAAACTAATTAATTAGTTAAAGCAAGTGTGATTTGGATGGTTATTTTTTTTTGACAGTAAGACACTCCTTTTCATTAAATGGTTATGGAAGCAAAGAAGGTTACAATAGAGGGGCCACAATATCTAAGACAGTCAGACCTGACCAGGCAGGGTGAATCAAGATGGATCGCGCTTCGAGCACCTTCCAAGAGGGCCTTGGCTTCCGCTTCAATTGGTGAAAAGCAGTGTAAGGGCTCAGCCTTCCCATTACACACTTGACCATGGCAGTTTGAAATGACAACGCCATATGCCGCCTCCTGGGAATCGTGTATGAACGATCCATCACAGTGTATCTCAAAATCATGAGTACCTGGCGGTGGTGTAGAGTGATCCGGGGCTGGAATAGGCTGAGTGAGAGGCTGGTGGGGTCTCCTCAAACGTGGGCAGGAAATCCATTGGTTGAAACTTGACAAAGCCTGAGTAGCTGTATCAGGTGGCCAAATGTGCTTATTCCTGAAAATGTATTCATTTCTGGCCTTCCAAGTATGCCACATCTGGTAAGCAATGTGCTGGATGGAGGAGATGGAATACCTTTGCTTGAGGGAATGAATCCAATTCAGTACGCCAATGCTTTGATGTGGAAGCATAAGGGAGGGCCAACCCTGCCTCCATCCTTCTGCTGCATGGTGGCATTCAAACAGGCAGTGATGGATGGATTCGACACTTGTGTTACAAAGGGGGCAGAGATTTGATTGTGCACACTTTCGCAGATGAAGTTTCTCTTTCGTAGCCATTGCTCCCCTGCTGCATTTCCAAATAAAGAACTTCATCTTTGGCGGTAGAGAGATACTCCATAGCCACTTCCATCGTTCCTTGGTGCAGGGTGACGGATCATGGAAATCTCCCTGTGATCTGCGTCTTTGATTGTGGAAAGAATGGAAGGCTGACTTAACCGTGAAATCTCCCAGGTCTGTGTATATCCATGCCTAGTAATCTTCCATATTTTCCGGGCCGATTGGTGTGCTCATGACCTGTTCGAGCTCCTGCTGGGGAAGGAAGTCTTTTAAAACCTCAGTCTTCCAAGTTCTCTCTACCACATTGATCCAGCTGTCCACTGTTGCAGGGTAGGTGGTTTGTTGGGGGAAAAGGTTTCCTGCTCTTCCAAAGAGCCATGGGTCCTGAAACGTTCGAGTAGACACTCCGTTACCAATTACACGGATAATCCCTTGTGACATTGTATTTCTTGCCTCCCAAGGGCTAGACCAAATCCAAGAGGCCTTTCCTCCTTTTTTAGCTTCAAGGAAGGTGGAACGAGGGAAATACATCCCTTTGATCAGTCTGACCCAGATAGCCTCTGGATTGGTCAAAATTCTCCACGCTTGCTTAGCAAGAAGAGCCATGTTAAAATCATGGAAAGGTCGAAAACCAAGGCCTCCTTCCAACTTAGGTGCATAAAGAACGCTGCCCTTGATCCAGTGAATAGTCTTCTTTGTGGTAGAACCTCCCCAAAAAACCCGTTTAAGCATGGAGTCCATCTTTTTAGTAGTACCTTTCGGCAGAAGGAATAGGCACATGATGAATGTTGGGATAGCTTGGAACACCACTTTGATGAGAGTTTCTTTCCCTCCTGGTGAGAGTAGGAGGCTTTTCCAAGCTTCCCCCTTGCTTTCCATACGTGAGATGAGGAACCCGAAAGTTTCCTTTTTAGATCTCCCCCATTCAGTGGGGACTCCCAGGTATTTGGAGTGGCAATTGGAATCTGCGAAGCCAGTCGTTCTTCTAATTTCAGCTTGTTCCTCTCCGCTAACATTGTGGCTGAAGAAGATCGATGATTTTTCTCTGTTGACCTCTTGCCCTGTGATGGCCCCATAGTCACCCAGAATATTCAGAATGTGGTTTGCCTCTTCTGTTGTAGCCTTACCAAAAATCACCGTGTCATCCGCAAACAAACAATGTGTGAGAGCAGGGCAGTGTTTATTGAGCTTCAATTAGGGATGGCAATGGGGCGGGTTTGGGGCGGGTTTGCCTAAACCATCCCCATCCCCATCTTCAAATACCCAAACCCATACCCGCCCCATACCCATGCGGGGGAATGTTTTGCAAACCCATCCCCATACCCGTGGGTTTCGGGTACCCATGGGTAATACCCATCCCCGTACATCTAACATTATTATACCTAAAACTTACAAGAAATTTTTTAATTATAACCATAAACAAACCTATTATATCACGAAGTCAACAAAACACGGTCATTTTCCAAATACGATTCAAAGAATATGATCCTAAAACATCAATTAATACATAATATAGACTATAATATTTTTTAAATTATTATGCTCTAACTCTTGATACATTTACTAAGTAATAATTAACTAACATAATTTTGTTGACAAGGGGGAAAGTGAAAGAGTGGAAGGAGAATTGAGGGAAATGAATTAGGTTTTGATTAAGGTGGTTACTCAATTGCATTTCTACTATTTATTTTCTCGAGTTATCATCATCATCATTGATAGATTACAATTTAATCCACGTATTTTTTGATATGTGAAGAAATTCTCTTGGTGGGGCGGGTATGGGTATGGGTATGGGGCGGGGGAGGCTAAAACCATACCCGCCCCATACCCATCAAACCTTTTGCGGGTTTTACCCATACCCGCCCCATACCCGGTCAAAGCGGGGATTCCCCGCGTTGACTGGGTATGGGGCGGTCGGGTACCCGCGGCCATGGGTTTGATTGCCATCCCTAGCTTCAATCCTCCAATATCGCGGGAGATTGCTGATCTTTCAATGAGTAAAGAGAGAGCATTGGACATAAGAATGAAGAGTAGAGGTGATAAAGGGTCACCTTGTCTAAGTCCTCTAGTAGGCAGGAAACTGGCAGAGGGTTCTCCATTGAAGAGAACTTTGAAACTGACTGAACCAATGCAGGCTCCCACCCATTTGCACCAGGTCTCACTGAAACCATAGGCCATAAGGAGCTCATTGAGGAAGTCCCACTCCACAAGGTCATAAGCCTTCTTCATGTCGAGCTTCATCATCATATCCT